AGACTGACTCAAAGTCCTTTTGGCTATTTTGGCTATGCAGAGAATCATCTTTCAAATCTGATGAATGACGTTTAAAAAGTTTAGTGACTTTGCCCCAAAATAAGGTTTTAGGAATAGATAGATGCGTCTTGGTTCATCTGTTACAAAGCAGGCCATTGGCTTTTTCAATAAAAGAGTAGGATATGTGACATATAACTGCCATCTTAGGTGTTATGGAGCTCTGCCTTAGATATCCATCCAGGATTGTTTAAGTGGTAGATTTCTCCTTTCCAACATGTCTGCTTTTAACTACATGTGATAATAATGCTGATTAGAACAAGTCGTCACACAAAGTATCAATCTGACTTTCGAGGACTGAACATCTTGTGTGACAGCTTAATTTAGAGAAAGTGAAAACATTTAAGATTTTGGAGGAAGGTAAGAAAAACAACATCCTGTGCAAAATCTTGGTGTGTTAATTGTGTTGATTTTGAAGTTGTTTTTTCAAAAGCAGTAGGAACTCAATTTAGACTCCATTTATTGCCAATGAGCAGTTTTAATCTGAATTGTCCTCATTCTTTAATCAAACCCTAAACCCTACAGACCCGGTGGGGGCACCAGAATCTTTCTGCGTAGAGTTTGCATGTTCTCCCCATGCAGCGTGGGTTCTCTCCGGGTTCTCCAGCTTCCTCCCACACAGTCCAAAAACATGTTGAGGTTAATTGGTGATTCTAAATTGTCTGTAGGTGTAAATGTGAGTGTGCTTGGTTGTCTGTCTCTAAGTGCAGCCCTGTGATAGACTGGTGACCTGTCCAGGGTGTCCCTTGCCGTCGCCCTAAGTTAGCTGTGATAGACTCCAGCTTCCCACGACCCTAGTGAGGATTAAGCGATGTATAAATAATAGATAGATGGATGGCTGGAAAAACCCTAGAGAACATAACTTGATGACCTCAGACTTATTATTTCTCAAGTACAGTGGCTTCATGTGTCTGACAGTGAATGTAGTATTGTGTTTTAGGCACTAGGGGTCACTATTTGCTCAAGTAATGGGGGGGTAATGCATTTTCCTTGAGGTCACTGGGTTAATGTGGCCAGGCTTTCTGTGCAAAATTCACTGGTGAAATGTACTTTAAATGTGTTATGAAACGTTTCAGTTAACCTTTTGTAGGAGACAGATATAAGGAAGAGCTCATGTACTAACTTAACGTAGATGTAACGTTGTGTTTTGCACTGAAAAATGACAATGGCCATGTGGTTGTTGTATACTTTGTAAGAAGTAAACATTTCATACAGCCTTATGTAAGCTGGAAATCACAAGCATTATAATTGTTGATGTATCACATTAAATCTGGGGTGTGTTGTCTCAGTGTGTCAGTGCTCACCATAGTTGTTTCTGGGTATGTGCCCTTTAGAGCAGGTTGCAGCTGCAGATTACACTGGAATGTCTGTGCTGTTACCTCAAAGCAGACTGTGCTTCATGGTAAACATCAATCATTAGTGTCTTTTATGAGGATTCTCGGAGCAGGTTTGTGTTTTTCAGCTCAGTCATTAAAGATGTCTGGTTTATGCTCACAGCAAGCAGGACAGGGAGGCTGTTTCTTAACGTGTCCATAGCCTGGAGAATCTGGATGGACCTCATCACAGCTTGGTTTCACTGGAAAGCTGCTCTTGAGCAGAGTTGTTGTCGTGCTTCAGGACTCTTCCAAATCCTTAGATTAGATTTTAGGAACCAAGGCAGGCTTCTGGCAAGAAATCAAAGCAGCTCTTGAGGGACTGCAGTATCTGTTTTCATTTAATGTACAAAGCTATCTCTGTGCAATGAGCCCTGGAAAAGTGGCTTGTATATAAACAGTTTGCCTTTCGCAGAAGTACCTGCACCTTTATTACCGAGTCATTTTGGTGACATAATTCCACAAAAATGGTACTTTCCGCCTCTTTGTGAGGTTTTCAAAGCTTACAGGGGACTTACCTCATTCTTTGATTTGACATAACAATTTGATGAGTCATTTGGTGGTTGACAGCTTCAGCTGTTTCCAGAACTCAAGTATACATCTACATTTGAGAGAAATGGATTTTTAGCTATTTGCTCTGTTTATGTGTCTCTTAAGTGGAACTAAACTCTAGAAAGTCATGTTGTGGAAATGCAGCCTGCACCGCTAAGTGAATCCACATGGAGCCACAATCTGGCAAACATAAGCAAGCGCTGACCCGGTGACCTTCTTTATGAACCAAGTGGTGGAGACAAACTCTGCTAAGGTGATAAGGAAGACTTCAGTTTTTACTTTAAAAGAAATCTTTTTAACCCCCTTTTTAAAATTTTTGTGTAATATTTAAGTCTTCCTCCATTCATTTCAATTGGAAGTTTGAAGTTAGAGTCGTAAAGTAACTAAAATACTTATAAACAGTATGATTCTGTGACATCCCATTCGTGCGTTCCAGTAGAATTCCACTTTGTTGTCAATACACAACACAATGCGCGATTTTCGGAAAGCCCAACTTATTGGGAAGCTGAGGTCAGAGCACACAGGGTCAGCCACACTACAGAGTCCCTGGAGCAGAGAGGGTTAAGGGCCTTGCTTAAGGGCCCAACAGAGGCCACTTGGCAGTTCTAGGGCTTGAACCCTCGACCTTCTGATCGGTAGCTTTAACCGCTGAGCTGCCAACACCCCACACATGGCTACAGGAGTTGTTTTTGAATTGTTTGTCTCTCAAAATCTCTTTACTACCTTGAGGAAATCTCTTCATATTTAGTAGAAATGTTAATTTAAACTCAGACTCAGACCTTGGTGGTCAAAGCTCAAGGTCATTGTAACTTAGAGTTTTACATCAGGAACAGGTTTCAACCTAGACTGGTTCCAAAGTTCTGATGCAATAGAATCATTATGTACATACTGGTTCCAAAACCAATTTCTCCCTCACACTAGGTTATAAAGAATGCACTGCAAAAACTTGCTGGAGGTCTCCCACTAACCATCTGCACCATGAGTCATACGAGTGCCTCAGTGCCTCTCTGTGTCCTAATGCATCTGTCTTATCAAATTGTGAGTCTAGCATTATGCTCAGTTAACCTACTCAGCCGTTGCTAAGTTGCTTGATTAACACGAATCGTGTGGTTGACTTATAACACTCACAATCACCCAACACAACACCCAGTCTTTGAGCAGCTATTATGCTTGTCAAGGCACGCTTTATTGCCCTTACAGCAACACTTTTCTGTGACTGCAGCAACATGCTGGTACTGTACTACACAACCCAGGAGAGAATCACTTCGCACACCAGTCTACATTTCAAGTCTGTGCTGACTTCACAGAGAAACATAGTGACTATATATTACAATATGTAAAGTAAAAGTGCTCAATGCAGAGAAATGTCTCCTGTGACTGCTATAGTATCATAGACTATATAAAAATTATTACAACTTATGCTTTCATGTAAAAGCAGGATTTTACTGTTGCAGTAGTCCTAAACATCTGCCCCTAGAGAAATGGGAATTCACAACTGTTAGAACACAAAGGATGCCCAGCCCTCCAGTGACCTCAAAAAAAAGTTTTACAATGGCAAAGTTAAACAATAATTCTGAAAAAAATTCACACAAATGCCTAATAGGACAATGTTATGAAGTGACGACATCCAAAAACTGAAATGGATTCAAACTGCAGGTTTACTGGCTGGAGGAGACATAGAACTGCACAGCATCCATTCTAGTTCACCATGTAACTGAACCTTTGTGTTAAATAGCTGTATTTGAATTTTAATTCCAAGCTGTTTAGTTTTATGTCCTAAAAACAATGTTTTAGGAGATTTATCTGCCCTAGTTTTAATGCAGAAAGTGTCATAAAAATATAAAATGTGCTGTGAAAATAAAACAAATAGAAATCAGCTGGTTTATCAACAAGTCTGCTGAAAAGCATGTTTTATTCGTACTTGTCTTTTAACATCATTAGTATAGAGCAGGACAAACAGTAGTTGTACGATTAGCACCGGAATCATTCATTTCTTTTATACAGGCTACACACATACTGTAGGTACATATGATTCTTAAAAACATCTTTGGGTAAAGCATGGCAAACAAGCACACTGTTTCTCTGTTCAGTACCAATGCCCATTCAATATTTAGCACACTGTTTACAATTCAAGTATGGATATTAAAAATACACATATATCATAAGTTACACAAACGGTTATTACAAAAAAACCCAAAAACAAACAGGATTACATTTCTACAAAACTGATGGCACATAGTGCATCAAGTATTCTTTAAATTTCTGATACAGACCTCATAGCACAATTGACCATCATAAAAACGAACGATAGCCAAAGGTTTCCTAGCTGCTCGTCGACTGTTATTATTTTTCAGCCATTCTTTAAATCAAAAGAAGCTGCATTGTCTGAGAAGAACTAAAAATCTGCATCTATCCCCTAACTTTGGTTAAAGCTTAACATTAGCGTACCAGCTTGTTAGGTTGCTCGATATTTGTAGCGGTCACAGAGAAAATCATTTATAATGAGTAAAGGCCTGCTCAAGGAGATTTTGTTTGGTGGTTTATTTTACAGTGGTTAATCGGATAAATCCGGTGTGTTTGCATCTAGACTTTTCAGCGTTAATAAGAGGACAGTGATTTGTTTTATAGGCAGACTGTACATCTGCAGAAGAGACTCCTAAGCCAAACTAGGTCAGTTAGAAAGAATCAAAGCTCTGCCACAGCAAGGGTTATTCCTAAAGCCAGTGTTTTTCCTTCTCAAGATTAGAGGTAATTCCAGAAGTTCAAAAGCACCATTCAAAAGATCCTTATTTAAGGTTAGTGGTTATAAACTACAAATAGTTGGCTAATACCTATTTTAGCAAAGCAGGCAACGGACAAAACATGTCAGACAATGGCTTCTCCGTTGGTTGTAGTCATTGTGCCTTAAAAACAGAAGATATCTACACATCAGTACAGAATAAATATGGTCGAACATAAATATATATCCACACACATCTCAATAGAGTATGGATGTTTGTGAGAGGTAGGGGTTGCTGGCACCTACAGTAGGCCCAATGGAGGGTGTAAGGTGAAACATCACACCCGATACTGTGTCGTGGCGTAACAGATGAGAACTTGAGTGGTGTCAATAAAGAATAATACTAGTAAAAATCTAAAAAAAACAAAACAAAACAAAAAAAGAACAACAAAAAAAACAACCTTGCACTGCAGCTATTTCCTTACAGAGCTAGTGTTTATTCTGAAGTCAGTGTCTGTCAGTGGACTGTCTATGGGGGTTTCAGTAGTTCTGTTAAATACCTGACATCAGGTGACAGCAGACAGACTCTAGAAATACACAACAATGAACATAAAAAATTATCAGTGGTTGTTCTAAAGGTTCCTAATGTTCTCCTAAAGTTTAACCTCTGACATGAGGCACGTCAGAAGGATCTGAACTTAGTTACTTGCTGACTTCTTTTTCAAAGTCTCACGGTGCAAGCAAACTGTTGGACGTTTTGAGTAATACATTTACTTTCGCGCTGAGATTCAGATGAGAACACTCTCATATATGTTCAAAGCAGCCAGTAAGCTCAGTGTTTTTTTTTAATAAGTCACACTGTAAAACAACTATCTATGTACCATTCCAGTGTCTGTGTCTAACATTTCCTTATCACAGTAGATCTATTGTACATACGTGCTTTATATTTCCTCTGCAAGTTTAGCTGGATCAGTGATTGCAAGTTAGCTGGATCAGTGGCAGCTAAATTCTGACTTTGTTTTTGCCACACAGAATATAATTCACAGGTTGCCATAAGAATATGCTTTTTTAATTTTATTTTAGATGAGACTAAGAGAGAGGAAAACTCTGTGTTCCTACTCTTTGTCTATCTGCTTTCCCAGTGAGTTCTGCATGCCTTGTTATGATGCAAAAAATGCACAGTTTCAGGGAAAAAAACAAAAAGCATTTCAGATTCCAAAGCGCAGATGTGCTTGATAGCCACTGCAAAACACCTGGCAAGCGAATGTAGCTGGCTCCTTGTCAGAGTTAGCAGTTTGGATGAAGGACCTGCTGGCGGTCGTGAAGTGTTGCCCTGTATATAGTGTCTCGTCTGCTTTAGCTGCCATTTGGGAACTGGGGATGTGACTGTAGGATGATAATTTGTTAAAAGCTCCTCCACCACACTCACAGATTGACAACAGGATCCAGCAAATCACTTCCTTTTGCATGTTCCTTGGCTCCCGTCTTCAGGATATATTTAGGAGTTTGGTCTCTGCATGGCCCTCAGTGGACTTGAAGGAGTAGGCCGCTGTGAGCCTGGGGAATGCACTTCCCACAAAAGCCACCACAGCGACCGTAGATTCTTGTTCCATCCTACGGGAACAAATGAGAGGAAAAAGTGGGCAAAGGGCAGCTTTTTGTGCAGAGAATGAAAGCTTGATAAATGTCAGTGGGGATTCCTGCTCAGTGAATCAGACAGAAGTACAACATAGCAATTCAGATGGCATTTTAGAACTACAAACTCATTCCAAGACCCAACAGTTACATCCCAGTAAAATGAAAACAGCAGAATTTATTATGTAAGAGCCACACAGTGTCAGTCATACTGAAGGAAACCGTAAAATAAATTTACTTGAACCTTCTCACCTCAGATCTGTGGACTTTGACAGAAACATAGTTGCCCTGAGACGTCCATTTGGTGGCCTGAGCCACTTTGAGGCCAGTGCCAATCAGATTAATGCTGAACTGACCCTGAAGACACACATCAGACTGAGTTATTTCGGAAAAAGTTAGTTTAAGCAAAATGGCTGAGCATATCCATATTTGCAGAAACATATGACACATAAAAGATGAGACAATATTTCACCAACCTGTGGACACTTGGCTGCGCTATAGCAATCTCCCGCAGTGGCAAAGGGCACAGGTCGACCAAGAGGAGTCTGGGAAAACTGGAGGTCTGTGACTGATAAACAGCAAAGACACAAATCAACAGTCAAAATGTGCAACAGCAGGAGTAAACACAGATTGAAAACGTCTGCTCAAAGGAAAGTAACCACACAGATAGCGGCAGAAAATCAACAACTATAGTTTATGTGATTTTATTGCAGGGTTGATGTCATTTATTGTCACTTTGCCAGGTTGTTTCTGAGAGTATTTTCCACTAAAAGGCACCTACAGTGAAGTTGGCGTTAATCATCTGAACTCCAGTAAGTTTAAAGTAAGTTTAATTTTGTTTATTTTACATCAATTTTAAAAACATGTAATTAGCATGTGCATCATCTGCCCACAGGTGTTACCAATATTGGAATAAACTGACTCTCTTCTTCAGATATACTGAAATGTCCCAGAATTTTGCCAAGTGATTGTTGATTGCAGTTAAGTCACTAATGACTTCAGGATGGTAGAATTTATTGGTTTTTAGAGAATCTGGTTAAAGCAAACCATTACATTTTGGCATTTTAAAAAAAAAAGAGATGTGTAGGGGTACTGATCATGATTTTGGCTAGGTTTCCTGATAAAAGGTTATGTCACAGACAAGCAGTCCAGGGGTTGTTGGAAAGCTGAAAATCTGATAATTCTTTCTGATTTCACATATCCTGGCTCTGAAAAAATGTGTGAGTTTGGTGACTTTAAAAAACACAACAAAATAATAAAAAAAAAATCATGTGCCTTTCAAACCCAAAAGCATTTTCTGGGCTACACAGGGTTAAATCCTTTGATTAGTCTATTTAAGTTTAGTGTTCAAATGCTACACTAGCATTATTGCGGACCTGAATGTTTTATGAGTTGCAATAAGAGATTTATTACACCTATGAATCGAGGTATTTTACTGACAGGTAACCATATCCAAGCAGATTATCAGAACTCAGCCTTGCTCACAGTATATCAGTTCTGTAAGAAAAATCCCATTGTAACTCAAACCTTGGTCTTACATCTTGAACCCAATCAGTCTGAACCCTGTTCCCTTGAGTCTTTCATTCTGATTTGTCATTTTCCATTCATCCTGCATTACCGCACATGTTAACCGTGACCAGTGCCTGTTCCTGCCCTCCCCTCGTATCGCCTGTACGTCGCTAAAGTTTACAAGATGTGCAAGGCATACCGAATTAGCGCCTCTTCATAATCTTTCCTTCATCTTGAACTCATTATCCCCCACCCCCCCCCAGCTCTCTTCAAGCCACCTGAAAGCCAACTGAGTGCCGTCCATGGGGAGGGCGGGAACACGTGCTGTCGGAACCCAGATGTGACGAAGGGGATGGGAGGATGACGGCGAAGGTACTAATCCAACACACAGCGAACACTAAATCCTCATTCTCTCATCAAAGGCATACTTGGACACAACAGTGCAGGTGGAGCTGGCTGTAATAATGAGCACAGGAATACGGCCTGAAGATGTGTGTGTATGCACTGAGAATGTGTGTTTGCTTGCACGCAGGTATGAGTAAGTGTTTGATGCTGATGCAACTGGATGCACGGATGTGTGTTTGCTCACACGTTGTCTGTCTGCGCTGTCTGTGTAAGTACACGTCTGTGTCTGCATGCATGCATTCCTTTATTCTCCTGCTCACATGTTTGGACTGACAGGCCTGGCTTTCAAGTCCTCCCCTAGTGATGTGAACGCAGAGTGCTGAAAGGTCATTATTTTGATTTCAGAGGAGAGAGTGTGAGGGAGAAGCAGCGCTTACTGCATGTGGACAGCACTGGCTTTGGGACGAGGTGTTATTAACACTACGGGACGAGGCGTGTGAGGGTTAAAACAACACCGGTGTGTGGTCTCCTGACAGTAGATAAAGTAAAACAATCACACAGTAATTACGCACTCATGATCCTCAGGGAGCTCAGGTCCAGACGAACTTTGTGGAAGAGCGTGTATCCTGCTGCTGAGTAGTCGTTCCTACAGTTGCAATCTTGCCTCCGGCTGCCGTTATACGGGCATTCAAAGGGGTTCAGCAACCTGTGTGTTAAGGAGGACCATGTGTCAGATTTATTTTAGACAAAGCCCTCCTATTAAAAACATGCTTTTACATACCGAGTGCAACTCAAATTTACACATTACGTAATCCCATACACAGCTACAGTGAATCACAGCTCCGATAGTCACACACACCTGTGGCCGTACACCTCCGAGTAGTTGTCTGTCTGACCGCTGCGCAAGGTCACATACTCCTTTGGGAAATCAGTCTGCATCTCAGCACAGTAAATCTGAGGCCAAACACATTGAGACAAGAGATAAGATCCTGTAGGGATGTTGCTGAATGAGTCATAATTTGTGCAGGACTAATCCTGACAGTACACACACACCTGTAAGATCCTGGACTTGACTTTGAGATAATATTCCCCATCTATCCTCACACCCTGCCTCATCTGGACTTCTCGGCAGGAGGTGAACAACTGGCCTAGGAGGAGGAATATGACAGGAGGAATGAGAGATTTTAGTGCAATAGCAATGTAGCAGGATATAATTCCTCAACATTGAGGTCAACCACTTTTGAAAGATGTGATGTTCAGCAATTCTACTTGGAAAGTTGGTGGATACATTTCTCTTAAACAAATGCCAGAAAGATTCCAACGGCTAATAAACTAAACACGTCTACGTAAAAAAAAACGGCCTGTAACCTGCTCTTTTCTTCTTCAGCAGAGTTGCTGTTTCCCTCCTCTGTAGTGCTGTAGAGCTCATATCATGCTGATTAGCTGATTAAAATAAATACTTGACCACAGAACTGGCTGTCACCCGAGCATATCATTTTAATTTCGCCAGTGCCTGACTTGGCAGAAGCCAAGTTGAGAATGATGAGCTCAGTGTGCCAGCGCTGAAACATTTGAAATGTGGGGGAGTAAACCTGCAAACTGCCGTTTTAAAGAACTGCAGGTTTACAACGAAGGCTGCCTCAATCACAGCACAGATCCCCGAGGCGCTCTGCCAGACTGTCCATATCGCACTTTGCAGAAAAGCGCTGACTATCTATTTATTGTTCCACTAAGTAATCACGCCAAGAGGCTTTAACTGTTCTGCTTAATGTGTTAAAACAAAGCAAAAAGTTGCATGTCTGTAAACACAATCAGATACGGCTTTGGCTTCCATATACAGCACAGTCAATTTAAGGCTATTACTCCACACATTCCACGTTGGCAGGAAACGCTACAGGGATCAGAAAAGTTGGACAAGATTGTAGATTTCTGAGTTATGTACTTAGAAGCCAAACAAAACCTTTGAGAAGAGCAGAGCAGTGACTCACATTCTCTGTCTTGACATGCAGCTTGAGACTCAGGTCTCTCTGACGGACGGCAATGTTTGGAAGTTTGACCTTTGGAGGTCACACACTCCACTCTGCGCTCCATCACTCCTGCCCCACAGGTCTGCGAGCACTGCAGCAAACACACACACACACAGAAATCAATCATATAAAAAAAGACAAACAAGCTCCGATGTAAATCTGCAAATGAGATTTAGAAGCAGAGCTCTAAAATGTCATCCAAATGTTTTGTGAAAATGGCGATTAGCTGGAGAGGATTTCTTGCTGCCTAACAAGTGATTTCTAACTCACCTTGCTCCACGGGCCAACTTTCCAGTAGGTCGTGTACGGGCAATCTGTGAGGAGGCACGGCCGGGTGCCAGGAGGGTGGGGCTCAGGGCAGTTGGTGCTGGCAAAGGAGGGCTGAGCATATGAGCGCTGAACGTGAGAAGAGGGCATCATGGAGCAGGAGACGATTCGCTGCTGGTAGCCAACACCGCAGCTGGCAGAGCACTAAGCCACACACAGACGTGCACACAGTGACAGTCAAAAACACTGGCATGACAAAGTGTTGTCACAGAGCATTTTTAATATCAAATACAGAAGTGGAGTTCTTTATCTGGGCCTTGGTAGTGCTTATAATGAGAATATCTAATCTTACTCATATAAATACTTTCTTCCTGTTATTAATCATCTTTTTACTAAAATGCAGATTTTAGTGGTTATGAGACAATTATTGTGTAGAGTTCATTATTAAACAGGTAGTGAATATCAAAAGTTTTGATGTTTTACTAAATCAAAAGTTTGAGTCTAGTGCCTTTCAGTTAATCCAGTGTTAATAAATATTGTAATTATCCTAAAAATTTTCACCCCTTAAAGTAACCCTTAAACCACTGATTCAGCTATACGGTCATCTAACATTACCAAACTCAGGATAGACAGTTGAAAAATAATCCAAACTATTGCTGAAGAGCCAGGGATAGTCTTTTTAAAAAAATCTATACATTCTTCTTCCTTCTCAAAGTTACATTAAGTAATGACTGATGTAGCCTCAGACCTGTGGCCTCAGGCATGTGGAAGAAGTTAAAATTTCTGGTAAACTTTATTCTTTCTAGGGCTGCAAGGTAGCGCAGTTGGTTAGCACTGTTGCCTCGCAGCAAGACGGTCGCCGGTTCGCGCCGGGGGGGGGGGTTATACCGGGATCTTTCTGCGTGGAGTTTGCATGTGACCCTAATAAGGATTAAGCGATGTATAGATAATGGATGGATGGACTTTCTTCTTCCTAACTCCACAAACCTAGCTGTCAAACTGTCAACAGGTAGTCTAGACCTTGAACTGTTGCTTTATCTGATGTCACTTCTTTTATACAACTTTTTTCACATATGCAGTAGCGGCTCATAAGATTGTAAGCAGATGTTTATGTGAAAAAAAGCAGGTCCCAGCTTCTCAAACTTTTATTATGTAATTTAAAATGGAATATTTTTGAACTGTTTGTTGGATAAAATAAACCGTCACCTTCATCTCTGAGAACTTGGGATGAGCACTTAACATTTAACAGACTACATGATTAAAACCAGTAGTCATGGCTGTTGTATTTGCAGGCAAACAATCCTTATTTCTTCTTTTTATTCCCACCTGTGACCATTCCCCTGTTATCCACATGTAGTGACAGGGAGCCTGTTTGCAGGGCTGCAGTGCTGAAGGCTGGGACGATGGCTCACAGTAATCGTCCTGGGCGGGTGTCATCCCTGGGCCCATGCACCCCACCTTCCTGCTTCTCATGCCTTCTCCACATGTTGCGTTGCACTAAAAGGAAAATCCAACAGAGGGAGAGGTCAGCAAGGGTGGAGAGGAGCTTGCAGAGGGGGGGCAGTGTTGTACTTTCAGCAACGACATCACTAACTTCTCAGATTCCTGCATGTCCCTTTAGTTCTCCAGATGCCGACAAATTCACATTTTTTATCATGCAAAGATTTACACAAATAGAGTGTTGTACGACAATGTCAAACTGGTTGACAATGTCACCATAAAACAAAAAAAGTTAAGATGGTTTCCCTCAGTCATGGTTTATTGGAGTGTTTAAAAGTCAACATATTTCAAGGAAATTCATGTAAAAGTCTGCTGAGTATGGATTTTACGATGGTTTCTTTATACTTCAGGAGAACAGACAAGATTTCAGGGCCAAACTGTGCAAGAAAGGAGGCTGTAAGTTCTCGAGGCAACACAGACAGGAATCTGAATACTGCAAACATTCCAGCAGGAGGACACAGTGCTATGTCCCTACATGGTGCCCCTCTTTTATGCCTGGCTTTTGAGGACAAAGCACACGACATTAAAGAAAGATGAGGCAGGAGGAAAACAGTCTGCTAGCGTGACACAGAGTGCCGACATTCAGCAGGACAAAAGGAATGATGGCCATCAGCACTTTGAGGTTTGATATCGTATGATGCACTGACTGATGGTTATCGCCAAAGCCCTCACGACTGACGCAAGAGATCAAGGGTACCTGCAGGTCGTCCTTTAATGGTGCAGATGGAGAGAGGGAAAGCGGAGATCTCAGCCAATAAAAACCTTAATAAGGCGGTTAAACATCTGTACATCTGTTTCACACTGGGAGACTGAGCAAAGGAAATGGGGAGTCATAGATAGGAAGAAAGAGAATAAAAGAGAATGTCTACTTACTTCTTCCCAGTCACCAGTAACCCAAGTGTAATGTGTACATTCTGCAGTTTGGCATGGCCGAACAATGGGAGGACGTGAGTGAGCATCACATAGATCTTCGCTGATTCGTCCGGTGGCTTTCAATCTGCAGTAAACGTCTCGGTTCTGAACCCCGACTCCACAGGTGACAGAACACTGTTAAAATGCAAACAGAACACACATCAGGCTGAGAAAAAAAAGGTAGTAAATGAAAACGTCTGGTTATGGCGTGCTTGTTTATCTGTTTGTCATATTTTACAACAAGTACAGAATTTATTTTCCTGGCATCCCAACCTCAATTCAGTTCTGTCACAGGAGAAGGTCTACTCAGCCTGTGAGAACATCTGGAGGAAGCTATCCAAAGGGATTTACCCTGATTATGTCATTGGTGTTACACCGGTTTGGGCTTGCAGACTTCACATTGTTAACAAAAAGCCTGTGGTACAAGGTTTAAAACAAGTGGGCATGTAAATGCAGCATTAAGTTGCATTTTGGGGAAAAGTGGGCTCCACTGTTTTTGAAGCTTGACTCATTTTTATTGATGAGTAAACCCTCTCTAACATTACCTGCAAGTTTCCTAAAGAACAGTTATAAAGCTCGGTGTGGCGGCTCCAGCCATCACTACTGTCTTGGTGTCTTGGCAGAGCCTGTCTCAACCTAACTCCTGTCTAATCCAGAAGTTCCCCCCAAATTTTTCATGAGTGTAGCTGTGGTGGGCCATGTAAATGTTTATGGGCCATGGACTGTCTTGTGACAATACCAACCTGTCATTCTAATGGTACAACTTATTTATACATAAACTTAAGCCTTTATACAATTTAAATGGACGAGTTATATACAAATTCACCCTCCATACAGTTGTCATGAATGGGGAAATCAGCCATACAGACTCAAACAGTTTTTCATACCAGGCTCTAAACACGATTCTTTCTGCTGTAAAGCTGGGTATTTCATCATGGAGGTCTATGGGAGGATGCTCACTTTTGGTGCCAGTCTCAAGTGGCCATTCAAGGAACTGCCGTTATTTTACACTGCTGTGTTGGCCTCACTTTTCTACAGTGGAGATTACCCTTTTCTAAATTGCTGGGATACCTGATTAAAGTCATGCTATATGGCTTTTGATCAACAGCAGAAAACTTCAGGATAAGGGCACAGTCAATTCTCCTACATTTTCCAAGTTGCTCGTTATTTGGTTTCTTTTAATATTATCATCAGAAATGTAAGTCAGAGAATGAAAATGACCATAAGCAAGTCATCTTTCTCATAGATCCTTATTATAACATACACAACTAAAACACTTATTATTGGTTATTAAGCTGCAAAATCTGTCTTATTTTTGAACATTAACCCACATAAGTTCCTAACCACGTCATATAACATATACTGACTACTGGTGCACATTATTATCTACTCAAGTTGTCATTTTTAAGAGGAAAATTGTGTTAATTTGTCTTTCAACAATTTAATCAACAATATTTCAATTTTTTTGTTTGGTCTGCCACATCCAGATCTGCTGCTTTAATGCTTCTGTTCAATGCACTTAATGAAGCCAAAGCTAGTTTGATGCTTCTTTGTGAGCTGTATATCTGAGATCACACAAAGGTCTATCTCAGACATCTCTTTGATGTGCTTTGAGAGGCATACCTGCATACAGAGGAAGTACTCTGGAAGGCTTGAGCTGATCAGGCTGATTTCTCTGTAAACCCGACTCTAAACCTCACACAACAGTGCCAGGCCTCATCTAATTCACACAGTCAGAAAATCTGTAAATTATACAGCAAGGATCAACTTTCCGGAAACTTCCTTATGCTGCAATTGCAAGTTATCATTGCAGAGTGTGTGGTTGGATGTGAAGGGTCAAGTTCTTGAGTTTGGAAAGAGAACAAAAAGCACTGTGAGAAATCTGACCTTCAAATCATATAATGTCCTTCTTGGTTGTAGAAACCTGATTCTGTAAGACGTGTAGTTGTTCTGTCAGATCTAGTGAGTTTAGCGTAAAACTATACATAAAAAATGAGGAGACTATTTCATGATTTTATAATAGTTTTACGTCAGCAGCTCCTGCTTTAAAGGATCAGTTTAACCAGATTACAAAATATGTTTTCTACTCATCTTTGGTTACATCATGCCTTACAGAAGATTTTTAGTTTTATAGTACAGTGAAGGTAAATGGAAATTCATTTTGTGCAACGAACAGCACTTAAAATGAATTGATTGTTTTTTGATTTTTTTTTATGTGGTATTTCAAAATTCCCCAATGGTCATTGAATAAATCTTTAAAAATTCATTTCTCAGTATCAAAATTACATATTTATGAGTTTTTTTTTTTCATGAAAGTAATACTTTCCTGCCTTAAAAGGCTTAGCTGTAACTCTACACTGTTGCATCCTTTAGAATTTGCAGATATATAAAGCCCATGCCTTTTTCTTCTCTTGGTTCTTACACCTCGGTGCAGCTCAGAACACCAGATCATCTACATCTAAGCTCAAACACTATTAAGCTACTCTACACTACACAATGCAAGGTGTAATACTGGAGTGATTCAGCCACACATTTGATACAGAAAGAATGACCCTGCAAGCTGACAGGACTGTTTCTCAGGCTGGTTGGGGTTAAAATAGCAGCTATCTGAATCTCTGTTTTGAAGACGTTTCATTTCTACACTGCAGAAGACAGGACTTGGACTTGGCTGCTGATTTCGCTCATGATATGTCTTCTAGCATATACAAAACACCATATGCACACTTAAACAGGGTAATAATAATAAAAAAAAAAAACATTGAAGGGGGTCTTTAAAATGAATTTTCAATGCTCTACAAATAAAATTTAATTGTAGGCATATTGTAATGTGGAAGAAGCAACCTTGAAACTGCAATTTAAGATTTTATACTGAACATATGTGGGTGCAGCATTACAAATAGTAAGAGGAGAATGATTCTGTGTCCTTGGAAACCAGTAAAAAATCTCAATGGGAAGGCCCCACCTCTCCAGCTCCTCTAACATGTTGCGCATTACACCCCAAGTCAAAGGTGACTGAGAAGACTGGGTAGCTGTGGAATAACTCAAGCATTGGGTGCTGAGGTTTCAAAGTTGTCACATGCACGGATATTAAGATATAAAACATGTCTTTATGCTCTAGTTAAGGATTTCATGGTTGCTGGAGGTATGTGGAGGAAGATGATTGCTTCCAGACACCGGAGAGAGAGAAGAAAGTGAGAGGGGAGGAGGAGGACACCCTCGAAGAGTGGGGAGTGGCAGGAGGAGGGAGGTAGACCTTTACATTTCAGCCTTTAGATATACTGAAGGTGGAGAGATCTTCTGATTGCATTCTGATCAACCAGTAGTAAATCAGCCAAGGAGGATTGCAAAAGACATGCTGTAGTGTTAGAGATGTGACAAATGTGCAAATTCTATATTTTTTCTATACACTTACTCATGAACAACCTTTGCCCTGCCAGTGTCCAAGCCACCTTTTATCAGTTTGTACAAAAACTGTCTGTGATTGCATCTGCATGGGAGACCAAGCTTGGCTGCATCAGCTGCACCTCTGTATCTCCCTGTTTATCACATTTCATTCAGACAGCTCATTATGTATGTATGCATGCGGTCGGTGTGTGGTCCGACAACAAGCTTTCAAAGAAGCGCCTGCTGTACATGAAACTGTAGATTACTCTTCACAAAGATTTCTAGAATCTCCACTGAATATTTTAAACCTGAAATATACATGTAAAGTTCACTACATAAACAGTTTTTGCAAATCCAGCCCGTGGTTGTTTAGTTCACACTTGAGGAAATTGCGCATTACTCTTAAACAAGTATAAACTGAGTGGTGATTGGACAGGTGCTCTGTGTGTACATGTCCTACATCTGCAGCCTCTGGGAAGCTCTCGGCTGTGTTTGTGCTCACGTCTCAGCTGCTAGCTGCGGTCACTGATAGTTTGGGTCCTCTGAGGCTCAGGCTATTATCTAAGCCGGGGGAGACGGCGAGCACAACAAACATACCTCCCTCCACCTGTTGGCTTTCCAACTGGGACATCCTCGTGCGCGACAGGCCTTCTGCGTCCGCGGCCGAGACAGATGACTGCAGTGTTCCTCTTCTATTTTGGTTTGGTTCTGATAAACACAGGCTATCTCCCGCTGCTTGGTCCCTCGCCCACAGCTCACTGAACACTGGTGAGGGAAGAGGAGAGAAGGGGGGATGGGTGTTGGTTGGAGAACAAGAGAAAAGTAGGGCATATTAGCAAAGTCCAGTTTATAACTCATAGTTGCAGAGGTGAAAATATTGTGAAATCAGACACTACTTTAGGTATGCGCTACTATTTTATAACTGAATGCCTCATTTAACTTTTCTTAAATTTGTGTATCACATTAACTGAATTGAACAAAAAAAAAAAGGGTATTTGGTATAATATAAAGCTGTTCCACTGTAAACAGTTGATAAAAAAATCTGTATGTGTCCCAATGGAACCAGGAAACTATTTGTAAAAAGACACTTTCTCAACGTAACAAAATCTACAAACCAAAGATCCTATCCATATACAGTTCGCCATCCTGTCTTTTTGTTTATTTTAAGCAAATCAGCCCTTTAAAAACTAGACCATAACCACAGACCATAAACACTGCCGTACAACAAACTGTCTCTTTCAGTCCTATAGAATACACAGTACTCAGCAGAAGAGCACCTGGTGCACCAACAACTTCCTTGTAGCATTACACGGCCAACTGGACACACTGCAAACAAATTTAACTAAACAATCCAAATGGATTTCACCAAAACCTTTGGTCAAATACTCGCATGCCGATGGAAAGCAGCCAGCTATTTAACCAGTAAACAGAAGAATTACTTCTAGAGCTGCTGTGAATGGCGGAGGCCCAGGCAAGAAGAAGAAAAAGGATGCAGAGTGAAACATAGATGCACAAGCATGGCAAGACAATCATCTGGTACCAATAAGGAACCTAGAGATACTTCAGGAAAAGCTAGACAACGAAGAGAGAAGAAGAAGAAAAAAAAAAAACCCAGAATGAATAAAAAGCAGACACCCTGATGAAAGCTCTGAAAAAGGGCCTATGCCTGAGATGGTAGATGAAAATATTCTGGGGACTTCGGTCCCCGTGAGGCCAGACAGCAATTAGGGTGCCTATTTCTGCTTGACGAGTGAGCGCCCCTATACAAAGCCACTCCAAAAATGGGGTGCTGGAATCAAATACACAAGATGAGGTTTCATTTTGTCTTAACATATTTTCCAGTCCAGATAATGAACATAATATTGCATTGTCCTCTAATTATGATCTCAGAATATTGCATAACACCGAATAGATTCTTTTTTTTCTGTGTGCCCATGGTGACCTATGGAATTTGCAAATGAGAATTTTGCTTGCTCTCCACTTTCTAGGAGCTAAAAGACACACTTCCCCTCTTTTAAAGTCGGCAGATCAAGTTTGAAGTATCCATTTGAAGCCTTTAAACAAAGCCACCTCCTGCCTTTTCTTCTTAAGTATGGTGCGGGCAATGGTTGACACTGCACACACATGCATCGCACACGTTGTAATTACCGAGGCATTTTAAACACAGGGCTGGCTCAGCTGACGGAGGACATCAAAGCCGAGGCCGGAGCTTGAGTGACTAGTCCTGAGCAGGGCAGATTCACATACCCGCTGCACACTCACTCAAAAATGATAACAGAACTCCCTCTACCTCAGACAAGAGCAGAGGCAGGCAAACATGTTGGGGGGGGGAGTGAGGAGGTGGGCTAGCCCCTCCTTACTGCTGTAAAAGCAGGAGGAACAAAAAAAAAAAAAAAAAGGAGGAGGAAGAAAGGAAATCACAGCCATACGGGCTGTGCTCCCCCAGCTGAACTGTATCTGCATTTTTAACGGTGGGAGAAAAGACACTATATGGCGAAGTGCTCCTCCCGCTGCCCTGCCAGGCTCATCTGTCAGCCATTAGTTAATCAGGGCTGGTAACAGAGAGCACAGAGAGCTGGCACAGTGCGTGGGACCAGAGGACAGCTTCACCTCTGAGAGCAGGAGGAGGGCAAGGACTCAGGGACCTCTGCTTCACTGAGATCCAGCTGGGTTACTTCACTCACCGGCACCCACTCAGGTAGGACTGTTACACCTATCGCTAGAAACGTGACAACTTACTGTCTTGTTTTTTTTTTTATACTTAAAATGTAGTGACTCCTGCATTCGTTACATAGAGAAAGTCTGCATGCGCTTGGAAGAAACAGTTGGTGCCAGAAGCATTCTTTGTATTGTGATAGCATTTGATGTCGATTAAATATATTCTTTTATCCGAATTTCTACAAGTTATATTGTGCTGAGCAATTTGAATGTATGGAAAAGTTCTCAGGGTCACTTTACCATGAAGGAGAACTCCTTGAGAAAAACACATAAATCAATGAGTCACATGGGAAATGAAACACTCGGAGAGACAGATTTGCCCTCCCACGTTGTCCCAGCAATTAATTTCACATGATTAGGTGGTTTAAAGCTAGTATAATCCGGCGAGGTTCATCCAGGGCATAATGTGGATTACTATAAAATGGAATGACTCACTCGCTTTAGATTTGGCAGTTGAAAATCTGCCAAGTTAAACAGCTTTTGTGATTTTCTTTTTTTTTCCATGCAGAACAAAAGTTTTACAGACATAATTGATATTTTAAAAGCACATGTAGCAAATGGACACCTCTTAATTATTCTGCTCAGTGACTCGAAAGCAGCTCGTCTTGATTTGATCGAGTTTCACAGCTCTGGAACAAATCACATAATTGAGTGCTAAGCAAACCCACCTAATTCATGCCTTTTCTGCGTGCTACGAAACCACAAAACAGCCCGGAGAGTTTGGAAACAGATGTCTGATATTGATTAATTTAACAGAGCGTAACTTCATGCAGATGAATTTCTCACAGATAAATTCTAACCGAATAATCAGGCTGATATGAGATACTTCTTTTTGTGCATCAATGTCTTTGTTTAGGACTGGCAGGCGGCAACCTCAAGATGACCCCACCCACCGCTTTACTTACAACAGGTAAGCCAATAGGACACATGGAAGCTGTTAGGCTTCCATGAGAAACTTGACTGTAGTTTAAATATGTGTCACTCAGTCAATGTGGAAATCAAAGGCGCTAATACTGTAGAGTACCTCACAGAGAGAAAAGTGAAATCCACGAAACCGACTAACCACCTGGCTCAGATCAACTCTTTAATGTTTGAAAATGTGCATTTATTTGATCATTGATCACTATGGCCTCAGGCAGCGCATGAAAACCTTTGCTAGGACTCTAAATAGGCCATAAAGAATGTTTGTTTGCAGACAAAACCATCATTTAGTGGTTTATATTGGAGCTGAAAGATCCTCTTAAAATCGGAATGTGAGTTTTGCCAAATGTTAGATATTGCATCAACTAATTTGTATTCAACATTGTTGTTTGACATGCTGGTTTATTCTTTCATTTCAGCTTGATTCTTAGCCAACATTACAATATAATATCCATTTATACAGGATGGCAGACAAGTTATAAACATGTTTGTAGTGTTTGATATCTGTATGTTCTTTTTCCATCATCTCAAAACAAAGTTTTAATTACAATGTATGATTTTGTATATTGCCTTCATTTAGTGGTTATAAGTGGGACCGCATCCTAAAATGCAAGCGCCAAGGTCGAATTCCAATCACATTGCAGCACGCTCACAATGCAAAAGGATGGTAATGCCAAGCATATGGTAACTGTAGTTACATAGAGCCTTCAAAGGAGCTCAGCGCTGACCCGGAGCAAGAACAAACTTGCAAGTGTAGACAGCAGGAGGGGAGTGTAGGATTATGCTCTGAGCTACGTGTCATCAAAGTTGTGAGGTGCAATATCTTCAAACAAACGCTCTAAAACCGTGCTCATAACTTGTCTGTATACCAAGTCAAGCAATGAGCATGGCTGTGATAATTAGAAACTAAATGCTTTTCAAAAAAATTGCCATGTCTTTAGTTATTGCTTTATCAGTATCAGTAAGTTCAGATGAAGAAAAAAAAAAAGGGAGAAAGACACGGTGTCACAGAACATTCAGGCTTTTCTGCTCGTGGTCTTGTTTTTGCAGGGTGGTTTCGGAGTCAGAAGTCAAAACAACACATGTTATCAACATGGGAACAGCTGGTAAGAGCGGCGTCATGGGGCACAGGAATGTCAAGAGTCATACATCTTTTATCCATCAGGCCAAAATACCCACCCAGACTTGGAACCACACACAGGAACAATGTGAAATAGTAACACTTATACATCCAGCTCATCTCACACGATCTATAGCTACCTTTATCCACCACTTCATGGAAATCATATGACAAATCCAATTCAACAAATGTACATTAAAATGTTTTAAAATGCAGAATACGGGAATATTTTTTATACTAAAACAGACTGCAGTGATGAATTACAGATGTGACAAGTTGATTTTGCCATCCTATGCATACCAGGATGCTGTTGATCATATGATGTGGAAATAATTTCTTCTCTCTGCCTGCACAGTTTTTGACAGACTGTCAGCAGCAGCGAACTGCTGATTGGCAAAAACTAAACAGCACATTCTGCATTCCCAAGTAAGAGTTCGTCATCGTTAAAGAGTTAAATAAACAACCGGTTGAGTGGGCATACATAGTGTCTTCAGCACGGTTTCCTTTTTCAGTCAGCACCACTCAGCAAAGGTACAACAAACGATCATAAGTAAGAATGAAATAGTAAAACCGTCAAGTTCTCCCGTACGTCTAAACATTCCTCTGACACTTTTTTCCATGAGCGTGTTAAAGTCAAACATCCAGGAAATGAGCACTACACTAAATACTGGGCAAAATGAAGAAACACGTCAGAATCAGCAGAATGAAGTAAATCCTTAAAGACAGAACTTGAAAAATACAAACAGCAGACCAGTCGTGAAGCGGTGACCTTTGACACAGGGTATCCAAGTCTAACTCTGCCTTCCTGCTAAATGTTACACAGCTGTTTTTCTCATCTGTCATAGCAACCAGCCTGCCACAGCTTGCAGAGAGGGAAGCATGGAAAAGCTCAGCGAAGCGGAAGATCTTGACCTTGTGTTTACTTAGAAAAAAAACGATAAAAGAAAAAAAAAAAGGAGAATCTAATTGTTACTGCACTTTATCACAATCAGTGTTTACCAAAATTGTTTAAACATCTTCTTTATACATTCTCACCCTAAACTCTTCCTTCCACAGTGTTTTTTTTTTTTTTTCCTGTAGCTATGTTAACCCTTTGCCAAGAAAAATCTACGGGATGGCACCAGTTCTGACAAAGGAAAACACCTCATCAGTGGAAAACCCATCCAAAACCAGAGAAACCAAGAGAAAAGTCATGGTAAAGAACAAGGGATAGAGGCAGTGGTAACATTTCCCTTTGAGAAGGTTTAAGTAAACCCGCAGAGGTCAGTGATGTAGCATACAGCGCTTCTTTCAAAAGAATTCCCCTGAAAGAATTAATTGCATTTGCATAGGATATATACCTGCCCTCAGACCATTTGAATGATATGCAGCTATCGTTAGTAAGTGCATCTAAAAAAGTACATTTTTGATGCTCCCACTAAAAATGCAAACTTCTTTGCAAACACCTCCATGTGTTTTTAATAATTTAGACAAACAGTGAATCAGACAATGTTCGACACACTGGAATTTTCTCACATCTGTGGACCAGTGGCCCCGCTAACTTAGACGATGCACAAGTAGAAACAGACCAGACAGGTAGCAAAGGAAAGCCGAGTCAAACATTAGAGTGTGTGAGCACAGTTAAAAAGAAAGTACATCGACATCTAGAGAGGGCAAAACATTACATATCAGCAGCTTTGTCTGTCAGCCAGAGTTGAAATGAAGAACTATTAGATCCCTCTTTGTGGAAGTGAGCTAGGAACACCTAATCTATCACTGCCTCTCCCATAAGAGGGGAAAAAGCTGCCACAAACTCCATTTCAATCCATCACCTTGATAGCGTCGACAGGCCCCCACAGGACCAGGCCCCATTAGGTCTGAGCTGGTAGGCTCATGTGAGAAGTCTTGGAAGGCGACTCCTAGAGGCTTAAAAAGACTTAGCAATGCTTTAAGAGTTGAAGGAAAGCAGACGCTCTCTACCTGTGTCAAAGCGAGGCCGTGTTCCCTGTCATTCGATGGGTCTGGAGTAGACCTACCTAAATGCTTCCAGACTTTCATGCCCTGTCTCCTCTCATTTCATCTCACTGCGTCTGCTCCCAACTCAGATCTAGCACAAAACAACATCTAGGCTTAATAGATGGACTTCTCTCTTGATTTCAAAGTATAACTGCACTTTAATCTGCAAAAAGTTGTGAGGATGCTTATGAAAACAATCTATACTACAGTGTGCAATATGTTCAACTTTTCTTGATGTTGTCCAACTGCTTGACCTGAAATGGACTTCCTGACCTAAAAACCCTGCTGGGATCCAAATATTTTGAATCTTCAGATAACGTCTCACAGCATCTGGTTTTCTGCTTCCCAAGCCGTAATGGTTTGCCAAAATCTGACGGCCGTAGTGCTTGACTTCTAACCAGAAAATCAACCACTGAACTGTTTTGCTTTCTCTCAAAGGCCAAAATGAAACGTTATCTACCAACTCAGTCTTAAATTAAAGCCATGCCAAGAATCAATGCTAGTGAGCACCGGGAGGGACCCTTTCAGCCGCCGCTTCAATCGCTCGCACTCGACCAGCACATGTGCAGCAACAGGAAACACAAGCCCAATGATGTCACAACCAACTGACCCCGAGGTGACAGGTTTGGAGAATGTTCCTGCCCATTGCCCTCAGGCCAAAGTCAAGTATGTCAATGTTGTGCATGTGGATTTCATTTGAAGCAACATGATTAGTTTGCAGACGCTCTGCTGCGATCCCCCTCCATGGGAAACACACGCTGGACAGGAAATGGTATGTTTTTGTTAGCAACAAACAGGCATAAATTACTAAAATGGTGCCTCGGTTGACAATTTATCAAACACAGCCGTTATTGTTGATCTTTGCACACAGCTGACATCGACATTACTTTTAAGGTAATTACCATTAGTTAATGATATTTACATTCCTGATAGTTTGTGTTGAACTACGTGTCTGTATTTCTTCATTTGTGCAATAAATGGGATAATTGTTTTGTGTCTTTTATTTGTTATATGTGACAAATGAGTTTTAAAAGTCAATATAACTTTGGCAGCTATGCATCAGAGTTTCTTAAGCTGTCACTGCAAGATTTATTAAAACTGGAAGATTATTTTGAGGGGACTTCTATGCATGTTAACAACAAACTAAAGCACAGATTGAATTGGTAGATTTGGATTTGTTTGTCAGAAAGTACATTTGTAAATATTATCAAGATAGTAGGATGTGTAATATAGTAGCTGCTGCTAACATGTATTGAGGTGTATTTTCAGGAATGTAAGTATTAAAGAAATGGTACAGTATTTATGGAAGAATACATTTAAGTGCATAGCCAAGAAGAGACACAACAATATGCACTAATATCAGATCTTTTGGGAAATCTTTGGGTTTAATTTTCCTAAGAATATACTGAATATATAACTTTATGGCAAGGATTTCATTTATGAGCTACTGCTCCAAATTGATGTGAATAATACTGGGGGTGTAAAATCTGCATCTATGCTAAACTCCATTTTGTGTATTTTTGGTGGGCATTCCAGGCAGAAGAGGCCATTACGTAAGGTAAGACACCCTCTGAGGCAATGAGAAATATTTAGACAATGTTATGTAATGCCAACAATAAATAAATGAATAAAAAGAAAAAAAATCTTTCAGACCAACTGATCCTTCTCTGGCTTCTAAAAGAGCATCATCTCCTAAACATCAGCCATTCCGCCAGGACAGTTTGTAAGTTTCAGGTCTATTCAATGATGAAAAGGCAAAATGGCTAATTGTAATACATGAAGAAGTCACATACATAGCAGTAATTTAAATTTTTCTTGATATAGAGGTAGATTTAAAGTGAATTCTTCATTGTAGCTGATAAATTGCTGGTTTTGTTTTGTGGGATCTACCAATATGTTGTATTATGAGTTGTTTTACTCTGTGGTGAAGTGTTAACTTGAATTATAACATTATTTGACTGTACTGCTTGAATTACCTCAACAGATTATAATTCTGTCTTCTGTATATACTGGGTTTTCCAGCTCTTGCTTTTGGATCTCCTCAACTAAACAACCTTTGCCAGCATGAATTAATACCAATTATTGCTGCAGTAAGAGCAACACTCTGTCGGACTTCTGCCAAATGCATCACAGAGAGCTCCATTAATAGAATGGTAAACAGATGTGCCACCCAGAGCCAACGTTTGATTTGCGCTGTGTATGTTTTCTCCAGGGAGATCACGAAATAAAATGTTAAAACACATAAAAGGAAAAGGCCTACAGTGCTTTTACGCTACGTTATGCCAAGGTATGTGAAGAATTACAGATGCTTAAGAAGCAGATTTTAAGCATTCCGCCTAAGACTGAATTATCATAAGAATTACAGAAAAAAAAAGGCTGCTGAAGTCAAGCGGGGGTCAAATACTAAATACCCCATAATGAGCTACAAATCAAGTGTTTGCTGCTGGCTGTTTACAGTCCCTCACCTCCATGATTTATGTATTGCAAGCACATGATTTACCTGAGAATATTAGTGTATAAAATCTGTTATCCTGTTTGAGTAATAAACTACATATATATACATATATATTTTTACCATTTTGCATTGTACTGTGTCTTATTCTACATCTTGCTTTGTTGTTTTTTGACATCTTGCAATGCTTTTCCTCGTGAGGCATTTGTATTCTTCCATGTGTCTGTAAACTTCCTTTAGAGTAAAAAGCAATTCCGAAAGCTGTTCAACATACAGTCCTGTATTTTGTTTGATTGAGAAACAACACAAATTTCACAGTTATGTTTCTTTAATAGTCTTTACAGTTGAAAAAAAAAGCTAATTTAACATGTTTATGTATTTTTGCATGTGAATGAAATAAATAGCAAAAAAAAAGAACAACAACGAATCAAAAGATGCAAAATAAAGCAGAGTTGCCCCTTTGCATTTGTGCAACTTTGCACCACAGGGTTTTAAAAAAAAAAAAAGAAGAAGAAGAAGGGAGAGGGAGTGAAACTGCCATGGCTGAGGAGTCTTGGTTGTAGTGGAAGTCTTCACACACTCACACAGGAAGAGAAGCAAAAACACAAAGAGGGAGAGACTGCAGAGATCCTCACTGGGGAGGATACCAACATAAACACAGACCCGACTGCAACACTTCACCTGAAACATGTGTCATGATAATTTTATGTTGCCTTAATCTGAATGTAATTCAGAATGCTCACACATCACATTTTAAAGCTGGTATTAATTGCTTGCGGGAGCCTGAATCTGCATGTGCACAGCGTCTGAGTGTCTGACTCCAGCACTCGGTCAGACTGTATATGGCAAAAGTAGTGTGTTTGCATAGACATGTTACCAAGTTGTCACAGTTTAACTTAACTGAGTACAAAACTGAATAGCAGTATTTCACTGTGTTCAAGTGTTTTGCACATATTTAGGTTTGAAAAAGAGAACTCACACACCCTGAAGTCCACCTCGACATTGCTGCAGCAGGTTAAAGCTGATGTCAGCTGGTTTTAGTTGCTTTTTAGAGTAATCAAATAATAAGAGCAGCTTTATTTAAACAAGCTTTGTAGTTTAAATCTTTTCCTTATGTTTAATACAGACTCATTAGCAAGGAATTAGTAGTTTGTTTTTTTATCCAGACAGCAGATAATGAAAACATATGTGACTTATTGAGCATTTTCTGCTCATTCAACTGAACAATGTCAAACCTTCTCATTGGGTTTAGTTGCCTCTTAGTTGCCACCGTTGCAGTACTATGTTTAACACCTCTGGTAAGGTCACATGACTGCAACGGCCAAAGGTTCAAACCAGAACTGTCCAGGTGACGTGTGTGGAAAAATGACAAATAATTCAAGTAAAGTGTTACATCAGTCTAAACCGGAACAAAAATATTAAAGCTGCAACAATTCATAATCTGTTGTAAACAAATAAATAAGTTTCATTTGAAAAAAAAAAAAATCCTTCAGAAAAAAAAAAAAACTGGCCAAAGGATGAAAGAGAAACAGCACCAACTGACTGTAACTTTATAAAGAGGAGGTATCTGTGTGCTTAAGTTTGTTTTATGGACAAAGATAAAAGCTGAAAGAGAACGTCTCGACGATTTTCGACTTCCTGCACTGACAGTTTTATGCTCAGTAAGCTGCACCAATGCTACCTACCATTAACAGAATAAATAAATTCATTCTAAGCCTGGAAATAACCTTATTTTCACAAAAACCAATAAGTCACTACTGTATAATGTTCAGTTGAATAGCACCTTATCACGAGTAACACAATATCACCACAAGTTGCATTTTGAAGTTATTGTTTTTGTGGCTTTTTTCCAGAACGACAGAACCAAATCTCCAACAGACTTCCTTGAAAAAATGTGACATTAGGATGGAGTCTAAATTTTCCACAATTCTGATCAACACATGAGATGACACATTGGACAGCCCATTGTTTTTGTGGTACAGCACATATAAAAACCATTGTTCCCAACGACTTGACTGCATATAAAATGAGCAACGAGTGAAGAACGGTGTGAGAACGGTAGTGGAAAGTTCATGCTTGTAATCCTTCTCTTATGTGAAACAGACTACATAATTCTTCTGTAATGCTTATTGTTGACTTATTCTGCATTTCAAGGCACTTAATTTTAATGCGTTTTCAAATATTGTTTGCAGAGTTTTCTCATCAACGGCGACAGTGTAGATATTTTCAGATAGTTCACCCTGACGGAGATGAGACCATTCTAAGTTCAACTAAAGTAAAAAGACAATATCAAAAATAAGAATGAAGCATGTTTTGAAAATATTTTCCTCTGTACAAACTGCATTTACTCATCAAGAGATACGAGAGGTCTGACCAAGAGTACCAGCAAAATATTAAATATTCAGTAATCTAGCTACTTGAAAAATAAAATCATACTGTACAAAGATACAAATAGAAAATACACTGACAGTCATTCGTAGCTGTTCAATAAAGGTCATAATATTAACTCTTATACACAAATATACACTTGTGTACTTCGGATACAGGGTGAAGACAGCAATAACAACAAAGAACATTTACTTCACGCCTCATATATGAAATAAATATTTTCTAGGGTTATGCCTCTGCGAATATATGGCATTGTTGGACAACGCTGTCCTGATTTATAGGTTTTAATTTGAAGCCTTGGCCCAAAATGGGATCCATGTGTTTTTAATGATCCCCTAAATGGAGCAGCATTGTTTTGGGATATTTTTTCCTTTTTTTTTTTTTTGTATTTTAATCAGCACCATGCCACTGCAGGGCCCATCTGGGTGGGCTGGAGTCGTCGAGTTAACAGTGGCGCAAGATATCCAGCACTTACTGTTCCTCAAAATCTCCTACAGTTTAAGGCTTAAAAACACACTCAGCACACAAGTCTGAGGTCATGCTAGCACACACCATGTCTACTCACAGTGACGTGCCATTGAGCGAGGAAGATAAGAGTCGGAGGAAAATTAGTACTATCGTACCGGCTTCCATGGTCGACGATGCCAGGAGGCAGAGCCTGGACAGGGCTGCAGGTTGCACTGCTCCATGTCGGGAGGCTTGTCCAGGATGTCACAGTTGTAGTCGTTGAGCCTCTGACCGTTGGGTCTTTGACACACCACCAAGCGAGTCTTCCTTCCTCCACCACAGGTTTGGGTACACTGAAGGGAGGAGAAAACGAAAAATTATGTTCACAAACTTTTACTGCCCTCCATGTTTCTGCAATGAATCAGCACAGGCTTTAAGAGACATTTTTCTAGACTGAGTTCAACTGGCAAACGCCTTTTTGTGTGCAATAAATGAAAATCGCGAGACAGATATACAGACGGAGAAGTCATAACAGACGATAAGGATGAAATACAAAAGATCTGTGCCAACTGTAATAGGGTTCAAGATGAGTAAGCAGAAGAACTGGACAAACTCTGTCCTCCTAACTCTAAATATAGCCTCACCTCTCCCCAGACGCCGTAGTTCCACAGAGGACAGGGCCCTGAGTCGCAGCTCTTAGACTCAGCAGGTTTGACCCGCTCATCACAGTAGCTGTTGCTGCGGCCATCAGCATCCTGACAGACCACCACCCGCCTCTGGAAGCCTCCTGCACAGGTACTGGAACACTGGAGAGCACACACAGTATGTGGTTGTATTTACAGGGTCATCTTGGTTTATTCAAATGCATGACTAAAGTGAACAGAAATCAATCTAGGATAGTTAGTGTACGTTTACATATGTCATTTTTTTGTAGTTTTTTACGACATGACCAAACCTGCTTCTTTAAGTCAAATGATGATACCTGAGCAAGTTTTATTCATAAAAATCTCTCATAGGCAGGTTTGTAAAAACTGACTGCAGGGTGACTGAACTTACTTACAGCCTATGACATACTTGGCACAATAAACAACCTGTTAAACTGAATTTACATGAATCTAGCCAAGACTAAACCCAGCTGCAATGCTCAAATATCTTCAAAAGATGGAAACAAGTCCAGGAAGGACAGTGTCAAACACTAAACAACACAGCCCTGACCGGAGCAGAAGGTACACTCTGCATCCAATTAAAAGGACACATCCCTACTGTCCAATGGGAATGAGCACATTCAGTGCTGTGTATGTGTGAGGGAAGACAGCACAGAATAAGTGTGACGCTTCTGGTCACGTGAGATTTAACATTGCACAGGGATGAATTTGTCCAGGATTAGAAGATGAACCACCAAAATGAACCTAACCCAAACATTAATCTCCATTTAACACGCATTAAATTGTTTGTTATAATGTCTGAAATAGCTTCACCATCAACATGAGTTGAGCATACTGTTTAATTAATGAATGGTGGATATAAACAACTTTTCTCATATGAGTCACCCACAACACTGATTCTAACTAAACATACAAACAAAATAAATTGCTCACTATGAGGCTGGACTGTAAATACAGGGCACACAACCCCGCATGCCTCAACAGAAGCAGATGTAAACCTTGCAAACAAGGTTAAAAGGAAAAAATAGGAACTTGTGTCTGGCAAAAATAGCATTATCTCTGCATTTTAGCCAACCTGATTCAAAGCCAAGAATCTTAAGAGCCTAAACTGCTCCACACCAATGAGTATTAAACATACCTTAATGATTTCAGCCAAAGACCTAAAGCTCTACCCTGAACATCTATTAGGTGCTGAATGTCACATACACATACACTGACTCAACATGTAGTGTGTATACATTCTGCAGTCTTCAGCATGCCCTCCAATCTGCACTTTGGTGCTGTTTGTGAAGTGGTTTACCATGTATGGCCTTCTGCCCTGGGAAATGAAAACAGCTGCTGCCTCACCTTCCAAGTTAATGTGTTCACAAGAATGTGTTTACAGACAGACACAAAGGTCTGCTCATCGACATGTTTTACACACATGGCCTGTGCGGGACATGCAGCAAACTATATTCAAAGCTGGTCATGCATAGAAAGGCTCCAATGACACAAAATGACAAAACCAAGACTGAATATTTCTGCACTCTGCTATGTCTTTAAAGATCACATGCTGAACATACTGCTCCCCAGGGCCCGGTCCTCCACTGGTTGTCTGCTGAGGGCACATTCCAGCTGCTGTGCCCGGGATGACGTCCTGGGTCCTGAGGGTATCCGTAGGGCTGGTCATTAATGCGCTGGCGGTGGTAGACGGAAGAGCAGGGTGCAGCAGTACACTCCTGTTCTGTTGCAGGCTTCTCATCTGGGTCACAGAAAGACTGGTCCACTGGCTGGTGGTAGTTGGAGCAGACCACCTGTCGCGTGGTTCTTCCGGCACCACAGGTCACTGAACACTGAGGCAGAAGAGAGACAACAAAAGTGTAAGAAACAGATGTTAAAGAAAAGAACTGCTCATTTCACAAGTGAACAACAAATGTAAAACAAAGTATGTATGTCTAATCCTGATAATTCATCTCAAGTGCAAGATATTTCTAGAAAATGAAGGCATCATTTCTAATATAGGCTCGACTACATGTACTGCATTGATGTGAGAACAATGTGATGTGATCATGTGAGTGAAAACAGTTGCAGACTGGCTGTCTTATCAGCATTTAAACATCCCTGGCTAATATTGTTTGACCTATTTCACTTCCATTTTTTTCTCTAATCAGGTTTTGGGAAAGATTTTCCAGGTTTTAAACAGGCCTTAGTTTGGGGAGTGTTGTTTTCATTGTCTGCACCAACATATTGCTTCATGATGTCACGCCCCACGAGTCTGTAGCTGTCAGTACAACAGGAGTAGAAATCAAATTAATATGACATGAATGTAATAAACTTCAGAATTTGTTCTCTGAGAAATTTCATTTCAGCTTTTATATGCAAAACAATTTATTCTCACATGAACACATGATTAAAAAAAATAAATCTCGTAATCACTGTAAATCATCAGTGGATCCACCCCGCCACTGCTCTTTTAGTGACATCAACAGTTTTGGATGAAAATCAAAGACTATGACTTCATTATCAAGATAACAGCAGTTCCATATGCCCGTTTTGTTCCAGGGTGATTTTACCATTGTTGGAAAAAATGAATGGCGTGATTACTGCAAGTCACCGCGGTGAAAAACATCTGTACTGATTGGACACAGTTAGATGTTTTACTCACCAGAGACCACTCTCCGGCATGCCACTGGCCACAGGGGCTGAAGCAGGCGGAGAACTCCGGGGGGCGGGGCAGGTGGGCGCAGTGTGATTCGTCAGCCACTCCTCCCTGGGCATCTCTGCAGCTGACATAACGCGCTCGCTTCCCCTTACCACAGGACACCGAGCACTAGAAGACATGCAGATACAAGCAGAGCTGGGATTTTAAAAAACTGTCTCATGTGGAATTGAAAAAAAAAAGTTTCTCTCAAGTGGTTTAGAAAGTGATTCCACAACTGTATTATATCCGATTCACAATAATCACGATGTGCGGTGTGACTGTTTAGAAAATGCACCACAACATTCTTCCCTGTGCTACACAAGTTTTGCAAAGTGACAGGCCCCAATGACAATGCGAGCATACTACACCGTCGCCCATAAAGTTGGAACAATTTTTTGTTTTCAGACATATTCCTCTTTTTATTTCTATTTATACACATCAGTAATCACTTTTGACCAGGTGCAATGATTACACACTGAGTCCCAGTTACCAGGTGAAGCTATCAAGAATAAATCGTATTGTCATGATCATATCATGAGAAGAGGTAAAAAACATATTTTATTCCAACTTTACGGGTAACAGTGTATCTATTGTACATACGATGTACCTACAAATCAATATTACCTCCAGTAACATTAAATTATGTATGAATACTAAATAAAGCGACATGAGCAAATTTGTAAGCTGTGTTCCAGCTGAAGTTCCTAATTAGCTTCTTGTTTCTTACAGAAGAATACCAAAAGCACATGTTTTTAAAGTTTTGATTCATCAGTTGCTCTGTGATGGAAGATTTTTTCTAAAATTTTCTCTACATTTCAATTTTCAATCTAAATGCAAAAAGTAAAATTCAATAAAGTTGTAACATATTGTTGCTGGATGATATAATCAAATGTTTTCTTATCCATGGAATAAGATACTATCAGACATCATTCAGTTTAAACTACTAGGCCAGTTTCGTCTTGAGCTTTCTTTTTTTTTCTATTTTCTTGATAGAGCTGAACTGGGTTAAACTTGCTTGTTTGATGGCAACAAGTGTCTTCAGCCTAGCAGTAACTAAAGTGAGGGTTGGGAGTATGTGTGGGGTCCCAGGTCGACTTCCAGAAATCAAATAAAACTTAAAAATGATTATAAATAGCAAATTTTGGCAATAATTGTAGCTACATTTTGAGTAAAGCCATGCAAATACAAAAATATGCTATTAGTGATTTCTTCTGATTGTCCCCACACGACCCCTCACACATTAGTTGCAGCAGGTCTATTTCAATGCCAATTGCAACTAATCATGGAGGATGATCTCCGAATGTCTGTCCCAAAACTTAAACCCAGAATGGACTTGCTGCACTGAAGCACAGTGCCCATCCGTCTCAGTGTAGAGTGATCACAACAATGTAGGATTCTGCTGCTCTGTACATCCAGACAGAGACATGACCTCCAAGTCTGCTGCTCCTACATGCTGTATATTTACTCTACTACTACAGTTTATACATGGAGATTACCTTGACTGATGCATTCTGCTACTAGCCAATGTTAAACTACTATGAAATAATATTATGGATGTTGTTGGGTTCTTTTGTGCTGTTGTCAGGCCTGTGTTTGCACAGGCCCATTAGTGTGTGGGGCTGTGGGATCCTGGGGAACATGAGTCTCTGCCACTGTTCCATTGGCGGTTTGTGGCTGAAAAATTTGGGAACTTGCACTAGATTACACAATATTTTACTCGAGGAAGTCAAGGAAGAATGTTTTGCAGTTCTGTAATACCTCTTGGCATCACGTGCTCACACTATGAGAAATAACAGACATTTCTTTGACTGTAATAGATCAGGCTACATTTTTTTCATGGAAATGATATATTGTGGCTTCCACACCTGCTGTCACAAATAAATGCGTTTCGGATATTGTCTGCTGTCACTGATGTCCTGAAATAACTCCGTGATCAGCTTTCTCCAGCTTAGGCTCTACACTCCTGCCATCTCAAGAGGACATCAAAGTAAACATCACTGAGGGGATGAATACCTAATGCAATCAAATGGCTCCAGCTCAAATAGGCACATTAATATCCCCCTCATATCGATGACATTCTAAACAGGATGGCAGTTCCGCTGCTTGGGGAATGTATGCATGTTTGTGTGTGCATGTGGCGTCTGCACGTGCATATGTGTGTGTGAGACCACACTGGCGCTGGCCTCTTTGACATGTGAGCTCACAGTGACTTTCAGATTGACAGACGGGGTTCAATCTTAGAAACTGTAGACTCGTGTTTAGATGGAATCTGGTTTTCATTTGCCACGAGTAACAATGCAAAGTATCAGAGAGACGGAGGGGCCTCTCAGCCCAGACACTGGAGCCTGAGTGTGTCTGCACATGTGTGTGTGTGTTGTGTGTGTGTGTGTGTGAATGTGTAGATGCAGCAGGGGGTAAGAGAGACAATGCCAAAAGAGGATCATAGTCATGTACAGTATGTACGATATGAAGGAATGTTGGGATATACAGTGAATCTGAATATGTCAGCCTCATATTTGTAAACACACATGCAGGAGACCCATCATTACTGGATTCCATTAAACACACAGAAACGCAAACTGCCCCATCGACATTCTTATTCTTCAGTCTTTGTCAAAGACAGACCTCGCAGAGATGCAACAAGGAACACAACAGTGTAAAGTCTTGGTCATCACTGTGTCTATTCTACAGATTGTAATGTACTCCGATAGACGTATCAAACCCTATTTGTTTCCTTACCGCAGTCCAGGAGCCGTATCTCCACTGAGTCAAGAGCTGTGCAGAGTTGTCAGGACGAGGTGTGCTTTGTGCTGGAGACGCCCACGGACATGCTGGCATCTCACAGTCCTGCAATACAAACATGCAAACAAGGTATTCTGTTGTGAGTTCTTAGTCATACATGAGTAATACAGCAAAACGCTGAATTGATGGGAGTAAATATGCTTCAGAGATACAGTATCTCTTTTAGATGTAAAGATCCATGTGGCGCTCTAATGATAACTTCAGCCATTTTAAGAGTGCATCCACGATAGGGCTGGACCTGAACATCCGAACATCTGAATATTTGGTCGTTGTGGTGGTCTCTTTGGGTAGGATAACATTCATTGAAAATATGAAAAGGCTTGGGTGAATTCTTATAGCAGTAGAGCTTTATATATTTTTGTTATTTAGATGGTTTCTTTGTCATTTTTGTTAAAAAAAAGAAACAAAAAAAACAAAACAAAGGGGTGATCAACTTCCCCCAGTTTTGACCAAATTTCCTTCAACTTAGACTGAAGTTAGTTTCGGGTGGACCCCTTAAAACTGGCCAAGTTTAATCGAAATCGGTGAGATGGCTTGTGTCGCCCCTGCCTGGTCCTATCATGGATACACTCTTAAATGACTAAAGAAACTGCTCACAGTTAGAGGTTATTTGTTTTGACTTTTCCAGGTTACAAAAATATCCTTTGTTGTTTCTTCCACAAACTACAGTGTCTGTCCATATCAAGACGACCTTAGTTCCTACAGCTAACATGGATCAGCTATCTCGAGACTTTAAGGTCATCAGTTCAAGGCTGCCTTCAGTGTCCATCAGTGTCTAAGAAACCTTAAGTGGCCCCTACACTCAACAATGTGTTTTGGTCAATGTTACTTTGCTTGGACCTTCACTGTGCAGAATAGTGTGTGTTCAGAGCTTAACAGTACAAGACTGTTGACAAATTCTTGTGTGGAGAGTGGAAAACCTCCATGGAAACAGCACAGCCATAATGAGAAGAAGGTAGAACTCATTCATGATTTTTATGGAATATGAAGTGAAAATGCCATTAATCATAAAAAAGAAAATAATGTCACATTTCTTTGATTGTTAATTTTACATCAAATCAATCAGAATCAACATGTACAACATTTTTCTGATTTTGGTGAAATATCATGACTTTAAGTTTTCTGAGTGGGCTGCAGCTTGATTGTCTGTGTTCACCTTGACAATAACTGGAACTTTTGGTCTGAGCAAAGCAGAGCAGTTAAACATTTATGTAGTCTAATGATTTTGTCCTTTCCTAGTCAGCTGGCTTAACTGGAATGTGTAATGGATGTTAAGGATGCTTGATGAAGGAAATTGTTTAAAGAGTGAAGAAGAAACACTGCCAGTATGTGGATCTACTTTAAACCAGTCAACAGGTGATTGAGCTAAAATACTAACATGACTGAGGGAATTTCACCTAAATTATCAAAAGACATCAGCTTATGGATGATCGTAAGATAAAAAAAATAGGTCATCCCGCTTCTGAGTCATGATTTACTTCAGATCTACAAGGACGAGATTGAACAGTTGCTCAGAAGAATCAGGAGTTGAGTGTTTCAGAAATATTCAGCTGATTGTTTTAAGTTTTAAGACCCGCAACTTTACTGCTTGGATCAGTTCTTCTCAAGTTCTTATTTCCAGCCACAGTAGACAGCTAATTTCATTGAAAAAGTTCTGATGAAGTCACTAAACAAGAGTTGTTACCTTCCAAACAGCAAACAGACAAAGTAAGCATTTGTCTGGTGGAGCGTATAGCAGCTCCAGTACCAGATAAACACCTCTGGGTGTTGGTGGAAACCAAACCAGAGCAAAAACAACAGTAAATATCGGACTGACAGCCAACATGTTACCATTTATTTGTAGCACTGGACAGAAACAGAATTTTAAATGCATGCTAATGTTGCTCCATGTCTGCTGAGTGTTTAAATAAAAAATGTTTTCTAGGATGAAAACAGACAGATGTTTTCTTTTCTCTCACTTTCTACAGCTTGATCCATTTCCCCCAAATTGGCCAGAATTACTTGATTCTGCTTTAAGATGGCTTGGGAAGTGAAACTCATCACTATTCTAAATCTGGCATCTTTGGTTGGAGGATTTACAGTAATAGCAGTTGTAATGTGGTTCTTTAATATTAGGGGAAACATTTTTGAACTCTCAGAGAGGTCACTGCTTAACGCAAGATAAAATCTGGAATAAATCACTTGAAAGCCATATACTGCTTGTAAAATGGACATTTTAGTGAAAATACTTTAAAAACCAGTTGTAAAGGTCTCTTTATGACTGACGATACATATTACATCTGCATTTAATACTGTATACATTACTTAATGAATGTCAATTTTTTATGACTTGCATTTTATGTCTATTACCACAAGAGCAAAGCATGAACCCTGGAACAAACAACAGTAAACCGGAAGGTTGAACTTTAGGTTATGTGAGCAGTCTGGGCTGTGTGAGCAGTTATTTTGTGTGTGTGTGTGTGTTGGTTTTTTTGGGTTTTTACCTGACTGTCTCTGGGCCTCGCTGCAGCGTTGCACTCTCTGTCATCCACTGTGTCGCCATAGTTCCCCGACACGCACCTCACAGCTCTCATCTGGTAGCCGTGGCCACAGGTCACCGCACACTGAAAGGCGAAATTACACACATACATACACACACACGCAAACACAAGAAGAGAGATGCCCAGTCAACCGCAAGCTATCTCAAACTCTATCTAAGTGTGTCAAGGTTGATATCTTAGACGGGGCCTCAGTCAAGGTCCAGCTCAGTAGAGCCTGGTTAAGACCCTGACATGCACACACACACACACACACACACACACACACACACACACGTGCGTTCACGTACACACCCACAGTCTCAACTCGACCCTTTACCCAATTCTTAACTCACATTCGAGGCCATCCAATCGCGATTAAGTACAACACGAGAGCTAAGGAAGTGCCACAGGATAGGTTTATTTGAGCAGCAAATTATAATTACATACGCAATAATGAGGCGGTATATTCCAGCTCTGTGACTTCATACAAACACACGTGGGAGGCCATTAGATCTGCACGTATAAACTAGACTGTGAATGGCCAAAGACATCCATTCATACGTGTTTCATTCAGTTTAACCAAATCTATCCAAAAATCTGAACGCAGGGGAAGGTGTGTAGGTTTGCATGTGTGTGTGCGCACTGTGGGTCAGGTTTAGTCTGACAGGATATGAGGGCAAAGTGAAAGTACCACGGAGGAAATGGCAGCTGGAGTTGCAGAGAACGCACAGCTCTGTAACTCGCAGGTATATCAGGTTACACACACATACACACACACATAAACTAGAAATCTACACGGTCACTCCTACACACCACATTCTCTCTCTCTCTCTCTCTCTCTCTGACCACACACAAGTCAAACTCCTAGACAGCCACACATGAAACCTATTTCCTCAGTCAGTCACCATCACATCGAGTCACCTCACCCCAGTGTGTGTTATCTGTGTGTGTCTGCAGGACTCACCGCTCCCCAGACGCCGACCTGCCAAGAAGCACATTCGGGCAGCTCGCAGCTCCCCACGGCGGAAGGTTTACTAGACGAGTCACACAAGTGCTCGCTCAGCTTTTCCTCCCCGGCTCCCATCCTGCAGGACACTTGTCGGTGCCTCATCCCTTTGCCACAAGTCACCAGGCACTGATGGAGGGGGGAGGGGGAGACGGGTGAAGGATTATGGTGAGAAAATTGCGAAAGTGGTTCCTTATGATGTAATCCAAACATCAAACACACACTGCCAGTCTCGTTGTACTGCCAAACTTATGGGTGTGGGGTGTGGACTAAATATTAAAAACACCTTTCACTAAAGTCTCTAAAATGATCGTAGCAGCACATCAAGACTTATCTGACACTGTGTCAATAAAAACTGAAAACAGGCCGTACAAAGGAAGAATTTATTGCAAGACTTTTATACTGCTTGGCTCGGGGAAGCCCTATAAGTGCATTAAATTTTATAGCTACGTGGTCCAACTTTGTGTTCTATTACACTATACTGTATATACGCCCATGACTTCACTGTTTATTTCTGGCGTTTGGCTGTGCTGAAGCTTAGTTTTATTAGGTGTGCTGAAGTTTACTCTTTCATCAAGGAATTAGAAGATAGCTATTCAGACATTTTTTGTTGCATTTGAACATCTCTGATTGTTGATTAAACCCCTAAAACTCCTCTCGGTGTATCAAAGTCACATATTTACAAGTTTTTTTCCTTAATATTATGACTTCATGCCTTTAAATAGCTTGGATGTAATGCTACACTGTTGAGTCTTTTTGTATGTGAAGATCTATGCACTCACCCCTCTCTGCTCGCTGCAGCTCAAACTCACCAGCTCACCTACAACTTTGCTCAAACACTGTAAAACTACCCAGTGGCTGTTTGTATTATTGGATTAATATAATCGTTCACTTTCAAAAACGTTGTCTGATGAAAAATAATGATGCCAAAAGCTGCACCCAGCAAGGTGACATGATTGGTTCCTTAGGTTTATGTAGTATTTTGTTCTCTAGTCTGAATCCATGTTTTTTAGACAGGCCTTCAGCCATGGTGCTCATTCCTAATTTTGCTAAAACACCAATATGGACATGTTAACAAGGTAAAAAAAAAAAAAAAAAAAAGTATGGTTTGACAGGAGGGGGTGTTTAAGGGTATGTCTTTAAGTGGCCATATGTGCATGTTCAAGTGTGCAAAGGCTCACTTCACTCCACTCGCTCACGGTCCACTTCGGACACGGTTGGTCATTGCAGGTTTCAGTGACAACTCTCTGGTATTCGCTGCATTCTCTGTCCACCAGCCGCCGTCCCAAATTGTTCATACAGTACGACTCCCTGCTGCGGCTCCCACGTCCACATGTCTTAGAGCACTGTATACAGCAATACATCATCATGTATTAATGCATTTTGTACATCCTCTATGACAAGACTTTATTTGCACTATAAATCATTTCATAGTTACAATCTGTTAAAAAATGTTGTTTTAAAGGCAAAATGCCAGATATCGTTATATCTGGCATCGTGATGTCTTAACCAAGGCCTTTGTTTGTAGACAACAAATCAACTGGTGCTTTCTTTCAAACTGCATTTGCTCCTTTTACCTTTTATGTATAATGTCATTTTTCCACTGACTGTACCTGTGACCAAGCACTGTACTGCCAGCTCTTGAGCAGACAGTCACCGTGGCAGGGCTCTCTGGTCTGAGGTTTGGCGACGTCCCCGCATGTGCTCGCCTCCATCCTCTCACTCTGTCGCTTCATCAGGCTGTACTTCATGCACTGAACATCCAGGCTGCGGTAGCCCGGGCCACATTTAGCTGAACATTCACTCTTTCCGGCAACATGCCACCTGCGAGAGAGGAGATGTTGAAAACGGTTTGGCTGTGTGCGCTGTTGGGAGTTTTTTCTGTGGGTGTGTGCGTGTGTGTTTATGCATTAATGCACACCTGACTTCACAGTCGGTGTTGCAGGGCTCAGTAACAGCAACAGGACGAGGTAAATGTTCACAGCGTTGGTCCGACACCTCGAGGTGATCACTCTTGCGCACACAAACTGCCTTTCGTCTTCGCTCACCTACAAACACACACACACACACACACACACACACACACACACACACACACAAAGGAAGGCAAGGTTCAAATCAGACAACATCTGGCAGACACTTCACTTGTCAAAATATCCCATTTCTTCACCGGTAACTAGTCTAACCACCTTTCTGACATTCAATCCTTCACCATGCAGCCTTAGGGGTCCATGTTGGTCTCAGACCCCACAAATACACCTCTTTACTGCATCCTACTGTGCACTTTGACCCACTGAGATCCTGAATGGCTTGCTTCCAAAAGGGAAATTTGAGGGGCTTAGTTGGGTTAAGGACAAGGCTAAGGTGAAGGTGTCAGGCAATGTGATTGGCTGGGGTCAGACTGGGGTTGCCAGGAGGAGGATTTATGGAAGAAGAGGACAAAGGAGTAAGATTTGAAAACACAGAGTTATGTGTAAAGGATGCTGATCCTAATGTGCACTGACATGTAGATCCTTGCTCATGAAATAACATCCCATGTAATAGGAGCTGTAAGATACATTGTGGTTCCTATAAATTTCACACTTTTACACATATTCTTTTCTTTTTTTTACTCTATATAAACAGTGGCTCTGGGGTTTGACCACAAAACTGCAACAATAAATCTTTTCCTCACCACATGATCAAATATCGCACTTTGTGAACAGAAGAATGGGCCTAAAAGTAGATCAAACAGCAATATGTAGGAATGTATTCAGAAAAGCTGTATTATATTTTGCACAACTGTAAAGCTTTGTAAGATTCACTGCAGTCAAAGACAAATAATTCTATTCTTCATGTGAGGAGATTTGGAAGCCAAGCTCACATCTTACCCTGACAGATGCGGTTGCACTCGAGCCAGGAGCCTGAGGGATCCCACACAAACTGCTCCCTGTGTTCCTCGATGGGTATGTTGAAGGAGTAACGCACATCTGGGTTGTAGAGGTTTCCCACGCACAAGACCTGAGGAAACAATGGTGGGAAAGGTGAGGTCAAAGGACTTACCTGTTCATTATTTTGTCCACACAGAGGCATCACCCCTTTAGACACAGGGATTAAGCTCAGAATGTCCCAAGGTGAGAAGGAAGGAAACTTTTACAGAAAATGATAAAGAAATAAGCATACCAGAATAATATAAATGTAGTATGGCTGAAGCAGGACAGATGAAGCAAACATACCATAAATGTAGTTAATACCTGTAGAATGAGCTCCTCCTCGATGCGGTCAGTGCAGTTGATTCGCTCAACTTTCGTATCTGAGCCGCTGTACTCAATGACAGTTCCCTTGAAGTTAATTTCCCTTTTGAACATGGCCACCACAAAGTTCCCATTCAGGAGGAAGTTGGACTGGCTGTCAGATAAAGCTGAAATAAGAAATGATATAAAAAAATATTTTTTTTAAATTAACACAAAAGAAGGAATGCTGCTTAAGAGAGGAATTGTTTGCATTTCAAATGAGTTTGCCTCTTGTGGTTTTAGGTTTTGGGAATATGTATGACATGGCATTCATTATTTCAGGCTATACGTTAAGTCTTCCAGTTGCCAGCCTATTGTTCTGCAAAGCCATTGTTGCAGGGGGAGGTATGTTGAAACACTTGTGGCACTAAATTGCAGTTATTTGGAGTTAGACTGTGTGACTCTGCTCAATGACTGACGCTGAAATGCAAACAAAGGATCTCCACGGAGTGCAAATACAAACAAATATATAAACACAAACCCAAAATGGTCACAAACCACCTCTTTTTCTAGCTCCAGCACAACAGTTCCAAGAAACAACTGCATTTTGTGAGTGCATGCCAAAACAATGTATGTGATTAAGTCTCTGGACAGGACTTTGTTTACACTAAACTCTGCGTATTGTTCAATGCCAGCTAGTCAGGGACAACTGGCAAAGACCTACAGACTCTGGATGTCGTCACTGACACTTTGCAGAAATGGAAAAAAAGATGCAATGCCTCAGGAAATGTGCAGACATATAGCCAGACACACAGAGAACTTTTATCTTAAACTTACGCCTGATACAGATCAGAAAATCCTTCTTTTAAAGTGTATTTACCAAAACATATTCAACTTAATGCATAGAAAGTGGAGAAAAGAAGTCTACACCCAGAACCTTAAAAGATGAAACTTCCCCCAACGCAAGCTGCTTTACAAGATGAGAAAAAAGAAAGAAAGAATGATTGCACACACAAAAGTGGCAAAATGACAAAGTAATTCTGTTTATTCACCGAATTAAAAACAGCTTCATAGCACACCCAGAGTATTGCTGTCATTTCCGAAATGTAATCATTGTGAGAAGCACAAACAGTGCCAGAGTGCATTTATATTATATAGTTTGCTTTCAGTATTGATTTATTCTTGCTTTTTCTTATATTGTACATTGCCTGCATGAACTTGCATGATAAAGTACAGGTGAGGTCATTATGAGCTCAAGGATTCCCATTTTGTGAAGTGTTGTTCCTGATACAGACATATTGGCCTTTTTGTACCATAACATTACAAGCAGGTAAGATAAATACATTCTTTTTACTACTATACAGTGAAAAACAGATAAATAAAACCAAACAAAGGCAAATGTAACAATGAGGGACTTGACCAGATTTATAAAGGTGTCAGTAGTTTCCAACAGCTGAGAGCTTAAAACCATCACTTAAAAGGTGACATCTCCTTTTGAATGTGTGTGCTGATATCCTTAATTGTTTCTACATATTGTACCAGCTTCAGTAACAAAGCTGTGAGGGTGTTGCAAAACTATACCATCCTTCATACAGACTCTACTCGCTGAGAGTGCAGTTGCGGCACTCAAGAGCAGCGGTGGTCGACCTTCCCACAGCACTGTGGCAATGAGGCTCCGCCAGATGTGTTTTCTGACAATTTGACTTAAAACATTTTGAACCTGACTTGAACCATCTGAAAATAGGCACCCACGCTTACCACTTTTTTTTTTCTTCTTTTCTGTTTCTGTCTGTCTCTCACTCACATGCAAGCACACACACACACAGACAGAAACACACACACACACACTGAGCCTGGTGGGTCCACCTAACCTTATACCCCTATATCTACTTTCATGCAGCCTGGGCTCCACATGCCTCTAATTAGCACTTATTGCTGCCTCATTTATCTTTCTCAGTGGCTGACACTCCATTTGCTTTCCCAACCAACCCTCGACCAGCCCAAATGGACCAACGCCCCTTGTTTTTCCTCCTCATATATGCCATACAAATGACAGTTTCCTTTCATTTATGGAAACGGTTTGACAACAGTTTGGCCCACGACTCCATGCTCTCTTTTATTAATGCCTGCCTCTACAGCTCCGGGTCACCAAGCCCGGGTGCTTTATGGTCAAGTTAGTGATAATGGCATTGACCTATGAGATGAGAAGTGAAGGGATGTAATGTATCCATCTTATTAGGTTGGACTGCTGCCATTTGAGATTGATTCTTCCAAGAAACCCTGAAATTTGAACCAGTATTGCTTAAAACCACATCCTGGCACTGACGTGCACACTCACCGAGGTAGTTGTCATCTTCTGGCTTTCCAGAGTAGCTGACCTGTTTGATATCGATGTTGGTGGCTCCAGCTGGGATCCGCACCACTGTGTTGTAACCTGAATTCAAAGAAGTGACAGAAGGAGAGAGTGAGTCGGACAGCACAGAACGTTTTAAGAAGCCTCTGAAGGGAATAAAGTAGCAGCAATAACAGCAGTGAACGGTCCCACCTTGGATTTCATAATAGCTTCACTATGCTATACCAAACTCCAGTCAGGGGAAGTCCGGTTCCAACCTCTAGGGAGTTAATTGTCACACTTGGAAAAATACAAAAAACGTTCCAGTCATCTCAAATAACCTGCAGGAGGCCTTGTTTTAGTCTCAGAGGCCTGACCGTGAAATGACATGTAATTATTCCCTGGACCTACCTTTGGCCTGTAATTACTACACCGGGCCTGTTGTCCCATGATAAACTAACACAGAAAACGAGTGAGCAAGGGAGAGGAAAACCAAGAGGTGTCAACAAAAATGTAGGTATGAAGACTTGATGGGGGGGCCAGAAGGAACAAAATAGTCCAAATATAAAGAAAATGGGCAGAAAAGCAAAAATGTGAGAATCTGCGGGTATCAACGGAAAAACTTTCTACGGCCTACTGGATCTTTAGCAGCAAGTATTGTAAACTGAACTTAATCAGATTTAACTCTTGGATCAGAATTCCACAATTGATAAGTGTGACTTCTATTAACAAATAAAAATAAGGATATGTAGATAAATAGCATCAATGACTGGACTCCCTCAAAGGCTTGGTTAGAGATTGCCACCAGTGTCATGTTGACTAAAAATGGCTCAAAGGCACAGTAGTAGACAATTCATATGAACTCATTTCCTTCCTCATATCAGGGCAGGTTGAGAATTTGAACCAGCTGAATGGTATAAAAAGAAAGGTGTGGGCTGATGTGATGCGACAATTAGCCTGACACCTTGAGCCACTCGGGGGCAGCACTTGGTTTACATATCTGCCTCTCATCAGCCATGTAGATCTTTTCACACGTGCATATATTTCCCATCGAAGGCCTCGGTGTGAAGGTTGCTACTTTTGTTTTGCTGTTTCTGCCTGTTAGTGTGCCTTTACCTTAGATCGATCATACAGACCAGTATGAAAACAAACTACTCTGCACATTCCTTCACAATTAAAAACCAAACCTTCATACAGTTGTCCTGTTTTTAAATTGCATGTCAAATTCCCTCTCCAACCACTGGGGAAAGGATAAGCTCGTAAAAATGCAGGGGTGTATCGACTTTAGAAACAGCCAACGTGGTCCCCCTCTGAGGCAACATGGTTTCCACAAGCCATTAGAGGCCTCCGATATCCCCCAGCTTAGCGACTGACCACACACACGATCCTCCGCCGCCACAGAGTGACCCAGGAATTAATAGCAAACACACCACTGTGGGGAAAAGAACACAACCCTGCTGCACACAGGGATGACTGGGGTTCACTTCAAACATGCTTCTCTGTGCCACGAGCAAGAAAAAAGTTGGTGTAGTGTTAATAGAGTGCAGAGGAAAGTGATTTGAATATTTTATTCATGCAAATTTCTTCTCTTGATAATGTTTTACTCACTTCTTGCTTTCATTTCAACAGAGTGACCAATGAACGAAAGGAAACTTGAATACTGTAGTTTTTAGCAAACTCATATGGGGGTAAATTGTGATTTTTGTTGGAACTATTGTTTAGCAATGGATTTGGTGCCCTAACAGGAAAGTTTGTGGGGGACTGATGGTCTTAGCTATAAAAACACCAATAACTATAGAATATAGATCAAAAATATTCATTTAAGCATTGAGATATTGGCTTCTGAGAGTGTGACTTCACTTGAAATGGCCATGAAAGACTAAAAACAGCTCTTTCTCTTGTCTATTCTGATGTACAAAGTAAAAAGAAAGCTAAAGACTGAAACACAGGCAGAGCTGAAAAGATTAAGACAGAGAAGAATTAAAAGACCCATCAAATAATAATAATTTAAAAAAAAAAAGAACAACAAAGGGGCTGAATGACAGAACAACAGGCCCAGAACCAGGAACGGACGGATATCCTGCCTGGGCTGCACTCCCACTCATTTTCTCTTTCTTAGGGTTAAACCAGAATTCGAGGGCTGAGGTCAGCTCCTGGTTTGGTTTAATACAGTCCTCCAACTCTTTGCCCCCAATAGCCAAAAGACAGCAGATGAATAGAGATGCTGAACTCCGTGCCAAATTATTGCGAAGTAAACATGACAAAGGACACACCCAGGGCTTTTTGTGGTAATGCTTCTGCTGTTTTGTTGCCCAGACTTAAAACGGATTGGATGCAATCAGCAGTTGGCCCGAACTGAAGCACCACATTAAGACAGACAGTTCAAAGGGATGATGTCAGGTTTGTGTTTGCTATCGAAAAACCTGACGGAGTGAGCTCGCTGAGTTAATCAGTTCCTAAAGCTTTAGAACGGATTGGTTTTTATGCATTTTTCTTTTTTTTTCAAAATTTGGCTGAGCCATATACTGTTGCTTAAGTTCAAGCTTAATACGCTGAAACATAACCAGACATGACATCAGTGTCTAATATGAGCATGTGGCGTGTCGGCCTTGCAGCCACGTGGAACTGGCAGTCTTTTTCAGCTCGTCTGTGTTTACTGTTTATCACATTTATCATAGCTTATCTGCAGAAGCTGCTGACACACTGTATGTTTAATAGCAACACTTTTTTTTCAGGATAGGCAGCTATTACTGGACAGAACATGTAATCTGAGCAGTGCGACTCACCATACTGAGCATCGTTGAAGGTTCCTGCCAGAGTTTTACACGACGAGTTGTCCCCGCCACACACTCCGCACTTGTCATTCCTTGCTTTCGAGTTCAGTACATGGTCGCAGCCTGCTTGCTGAAGGATAAAGAGAAGACAGAAATGTATGATTTAGATGGATGGGATGTGATATTCTGTAACTAAAAATATTACTTTTAATTTTCTGTACTACATATTTGTCAGCACTCACACCTGGACACCACAAACGTAGCAAATGAAGGTGTTTCTGATTGCGACATATGAATAAAAGCTTCATCCTTTCCAGTAATTAAAAATCATGAGTCATGCAAGTGTATCTGTAGGCTAAGAATGTCAAGTTTGTTCCTCTGCAACAGCCAAAATGTAGTTTTGACACAGATAAACATACTGTATCATGCACTGTGTATCATAATAGCAGGAGAATGAGTTAAGGCTGGCAGTCTTGAAGCTTGTGCAAACACATTTTGTTGTGTACATGCTCAGGTTTAGAGCAGAAGAAGAAGAAGAAACGTACCCTGCAGAGGCCTTGAACACAGATGTCGTAAGTGTCTGGCCCACACGGTGTACCGTCGATGACGCGATCCTTCAGCTGATAGTACGCCATAGTCCCAGCAACTCGGCAAAAGAGCTTACACCGATCCTTCATGAGTACTGGATGGAAAAGAAAACAACAAAATAGACAACGTTAGAGGATGACTCGTAAAATTTAACGAGAACTGAGCGAGAACAAATACCTAAAGGTGACTTGAGTGTGCTTTGTACAAGTTCATAATAATAATAACACTTCACATATAAATCTATTTAAATATTTTTGCAAACTTCAGCAGATTCTTGCTAAAGCTGCCAAATTTTGATTCAGTGTTTGGGAAAAAAATCACTTTGTATCTGACAGTGTACTACCTCCAGGGCTCGGCTTGTTTGCTTGTACAGCAACAATTAAACGAATGAATCACTTGCAGAAACTTTGCCAGATGGTAATCTTACGGGGAAGGCTATCTCGGCAGGGATTGAAATACGGCTGTACAATGGAAAGCTGCCAAGACGTTCATATGGAGGGGCTGCACGGAGCTTTTATGTTGCTTTTGATTTGTGTCAACTAAAGGTTCACACAAGGGCATCTCTTATCAAGGGTATGCAAAGTATGACCAAAAAAAAAAGAAGAAAAAAAAAGACTCGCACACAGATTTGTACTCTAGCCAACACATTCAGTAATTCCTCAAAAAGCACTCTCTATCTCCTTCCCTCATGTATTAAAACTTCAGTACATTAGGTCAAATGCAGTAAATGCACCGATATCACATTTTTGTACATCTTGGCCTTCAACTCCCTCCTACACACAATGTTTACTGTAAAATTGCATGAGAAGTTTACACCAGTAATCACACAAACAGTGAATGACTGCATGCAGGCAAAAACTTCAAAATAAGTACATGCAGTGTTTCAGTTAAACGCACCAAATATACTGTATCATTATTGCATAGTTTGATGTAAATATTTTTCATCTTTGATGCAGTCCAGGTTGCCACAAGACATTTAAATTACATGCTCGAGTGTACTCACTACCACTGTACTTGGGGACCCAGCGGACGGTGGGAGGTAGACCGTTGATGTTGAAGTGCTTTCCATCAAACTGAGAGCACTGCTCTTCACGGAAATCTTTCCGTCCTCGTGGGCATGGCTCAGTGTTGCAAGAGCGGAACTTCATCCTGCGACCCACACAGAACTTACCGCCATTTCTGGGCCTAGTGGAAGAACAGATCACAGAAAAGCTACACATAGCTGGAGTTTAAAGATCACATTTTAGCTTGTTTGACCTGAGCTTTGGGACTTCAAACCAACATTATTTACATTTACAATTTACAAGAATGAATAACTCTGTCCCTTAATGTTGCTTACAATCAGGTTGAGAGATGCTAAATCTGACATGCAGCTTTGTTACACACTCAAGTTTGTTTACACTTCCTATTCAGAGTCGCACACATATTTGCACTTGGTAATGGCTCTGATTGTCAGAACTGTCTGCTTCTTTCTTACTCAGGCTTGTTGCAGTCTCTCATGGTGCTCCTTGTTCCTCCACCACAGGACCTGGAGCAAACACTATACGGACCCCAGGGACCCCACTCCCCATGGACTGGCTGCAGATCCAACTCCTTGTTTACACACATTCCATGTCTGCAATACTGTATGTGAATACACACAAACACAGGTCACATTAAAAACCATGACTGTAAGTTCTGCACTGCACAAGACAAACACAGACAGTATTGAGCGTTGTTGGGAGCAACGTTCCTCTTCTTAATGCTGTTTACATCTTTAATCTTGGACTGATTCCACATCTATCTCTATCTCTGAGAAAAATGCATTTCATCGATCCAATATGTACATCTAGTGAGTGACAGAAGCAGTTTAATATAAAACAATGGTAACCTAAGACTTGCATAAGTTGTTGAATATTTCCCTACTTTTCAAAATATTACAGACTCGTAGTTGCCACAGTCATTCCTCAAATGGGCTTTGTCTTTCATATACAGGTTCTACAAGACTGATTCAAATAGTCAAAAGAAATGTTGTTTCACAGTCAAATAAAAAAAAAAAAGGAACAATGTCACCGATTTGCTATGCCACAGACAATGGAGAATACAGGCAAAAATTTCTCTTTAACCAGTTTTAGATTGTAAATACAAAATTACACAACACAGTTTTCCCACAGTACACCCAATGTGACATAGTAAATAAGGCGCCCGGTTTCAAACAGCATGTACCCACTAAGCAACTTTTGCCAAGAAGTGCTAACACTGCTTTCATAAGCGAAGCACGGCAGGCACATTTCCCTTTGTGTGTAACCAAATCCCCCTCTCAGTGACTAAGATATCGGAGGGTCCTGTTCACTGAAAGAATGCAGGACAAGACGGCGTCTGTCTGGGTACGTAGCCCGCCGTCCGGGCACACAGGCACGGGGAGCAGTGGCACCATGAAAAGGAAACTCTAGAGTTGTGATAACAAGAGGAACAGAGTTCATTACTGGCTTGACATCAGGAACTCCCTTCTCTTGCTGAGCTGTGCATCTACTCTGGAACACAGCGTGAAACCCAAAACCAGAAAAGGAGGACGCTCTTTGCTGAGGGTGTTCATTTTCACTTAATTTTGTTTGTTTGTTGATGTGCAAGTTGTTACTCTCACTGCCAGCTCCAACCAGATGAGAAATGAGACTTCTATCATTTCAACTGGCCACACATCCATTCTGCTACAAGTCATTCAATCCCCAGCTTCAGATATAAAAAAAAAAAAAAAAAAGCGAAGACCTCCTGATCTGAAGACTCCTGAGAACTGAGAACAAAACCATGTGAGATCCGCTTGAGCGGATTTTCATAATTACGCTAATAAACCAGAGAGGTTATCAATCAAAGTCATCTCTTGGACAATGGCTAATCTGGCCAGTCTCTGCTTTCACATAAATTCACAATTTGCAGCCTTTACTTTAGATGAACACCTGCAAAAGTGCAAAGTCATACACACAACCACATGTAAAAATACACAACTTGGCAACGCTGCTTCTACTATCCTGGCCTAGTTTGAATGTGTGTTTTACACACTTGTGGGCCTAATGATGGAGTGTAAAGTCTATGCACAATGACAGGCAGGTGTTAACAGCTGCAGGGTATGGAGCAAACAAGCCACAAACATTTCCATAATCCAGACCTGGTTTGAGTAATCGTCTGGCCCATTCTTCCTGCTTAACTCCACGGTAAATGCAAATACAAGGCACTGATACTTTTGTTGGAGCGCTCACAATAGATTCAGAGAAGAAATAAAGTAAAAAGGCAGTGAGAAGAATGTGATAAAACCTCCACATGAGTGGAAATAGCTTCCACACCATGAAAAGGCGAACAGGTGCTGGTCCATGTTGGCTGAGCAACCTTCTAAAGAGAAACAGAGCTAAACATTTGGAGTTCATGAAACTGTCAAAGAAACACAGTTAAGAAGCAAGTCCAAAAGCTTTCCGTCATCATAGCAAGGAGTTTCCCTTCCCCCCACCTCAACTCGGGGACCGTCGACCCGGACCTGAGCATCCCTTGTATACCTCCTCTCCACAGCCACCCATCCCCCTTATCCCCTTATGGGAAATTGCAAGGGCCACGCAGAGACCACCACAGTGCACCCGGGCAGCGGGACCCAAGGAGCTGTCAAACACAAGGCGGACTGTCTGTCACAGAGGACCAAAGAGTGTGTAAGCCTCTGAGGCATTCCACTCTCCCCGCTGGCACCCTGTGTTTACAACCGTTTTGTTTGGCTTGAAAAGGTGATGTGGGTGAAAAAAGAAAGGAGGAACTGGGGAGGGGGGGGAGCGGAAAGGAAAAAAACATCTGTGTGAGATGATGTATGCGCTAGTGTGTGCGCGAATGTGAGCATGTGCATGACTTTGGGTGCGTGTGTGCACATGTGTGAAAGTGTGTTAAGTGTGAGAGTGATTGCTAGGAGTGTGGAGGCATCTGGGGGCCACGCTCAATTCCAATTAGCCGCTTTTCGAAAGTGCGCAAACATACTTGGAAAACACTGAGGTGAAAGGCAGACTTGGCGAAGCTCAAACAAGCATTAAGGCCACCGGCAAACGCCTTCCTAGAAAGACTGTCAAATTTTGTCCTCAGTTGGGAATGTGGTGAGACATTTCAAGGTCATGTGAGAGAAACCTGTCCAGCTGTGACAGCATGTGTTTCAAATTAGGAATTTCACAAAGACACACGCTGACTCACCAACTCATACCAAGACATGCATGCATCTTGCACAATGCTGCACATAGATGCGCAAATAATGCACATACGAAACAACACGCAATGCTTTTGCCTCTTGGCTCTCAAACCACGTAGCAACTGACACATACAGCCACAGAGCGTCGTCACCAGGCTAACAACGACAGTGGGAATAGTAAGGACAGCAGCATCTGCTCTGAGCTCCTCAGCTGGCTGGTTTGGAAGCAAGCACCCTGTAATTGCCAGGAAACTGTTGCAGCGAGCACCTCATTTCTGAACCCAAGCCATACATCACTGCAGGAATGAGAAGGCAGAGGACTGATTTAAAAAGCACTCCGCTCTTTCATTTTAACACAACCATTTCCAAAAGGCATCACCTTTCATGTTGCGGTGTCTTTCTCATGGCTCTGGGTGAGGAGTTCACCCCGGCCTTGGCAGGTTTGAGGGGTTTGTGTACTTCTCTCTTGCAGCAAGCCCCCCCCCCCTCAGAAATGCACAATTAATAAGACTGCAATCTGGAAAACAACACCTTTCTGTAACATCTGGAACAAGCTGTCAAAATGGCACAATGTGGACCACCGCTGTTGATTTTCAGTAAAGCATCATTCACTTCTACATGTGTTGTAACTCGACCTAGAGGTGAGAAGTGATATAAAGCCCATAAAGCCACAGTAGTATGGAGATTCTCTGCAGAGCTGTCGTTGGGTAGCTGGGGGACTGGAAACAAGTCAAATGACAGGTGTTATTATAGAGTGGATTTACACTGCCTCATTTTTCAGCCCAGGCGTGCATTTTTTCCCTGTTAGTTCCATATTTCCTCTTTCCATCGTGTTAAAAAGGGTGTGAAGACAGGAGGAAGAGAAATGACAAGACACAGTGGAAGGTGAGAGAAAGAGAAGAGGAGGAACAACATGATGCAACCATGACCCCAACCAACCTCTCCTTTTATCTCCCTACATGGTTTCCTATCCTCTTTTGCCACCTCTCTGTGATCCTTCCTTCCCCCACATCTTTCCAAGAAGTGCAAAGGTTGTCATTACAGTGAATGAGTAGTTTGGCTCCATCAGCTGTTCCACTCACGTGCACTTCAGAGACACTTTTACCATTTGTCTCGCTCACTTATCATCATCTCTGCACAACAACTGAGATACACATACCTCTTGTAATCTTTAAAGCTGTGCTTTACTAGGATTTTTAAATTGAAAAAGGAACAAAAATGACTACATGTAAAGTGAAAGGTGCTGTGGGAGCAACAAACCCACAGAGAATCAAATGTTTCAGCCTTTGAGATATTTCTTTTGGCTCTTGTAACTTTGTGTTTTATTTTTAAACCTGTACAAAAGATTTTTGGCCACTATGGAGGCAGCACAACAAGCTATAAACAGAGCACACTGGCATACTGTCTCCTCATAATCTGCATATAAATCTTTAACATAGCCTCCGTGACATTATCCATTGGTTTGTGGACTTCTGTTTAAAACCTGGAATTTATGCTCTTTTGAAATCATACAATAACAACAACTAATTTCTAACTGTGAGCCCAAATGCACTATGCATGGTGACATGGTAGCAACCTGTCACTCACAAGATGCCCTAAAACATATTGTCTTTTATTGTCTATTTGTCTCTAAATAGTATCATAATTTACAAAATAAATGTCACACTGCATTCAAAAACTCTTGAAACTAAGGATACAGGCCATTAAATCATTTGAAAAATGTTCACCAAAGTAACAAATCAATTGAGAAGTAGGGACATTCTGTTCTATACAATCTGACTTTTTTCGCAACAAGAGTCGCCCCCTACCAGCTATTAATAAGAATGCACGTCTAAGGCACTTCCACGTTGGCTTCACTTTTTAGATCCAGAGGCTACACCTATCTTTTATACACAGTCTGTGCTTGTAATGCTGATAGTGTGAACGTGTTAGGAAACAATGGCACACTTGGACATTGAGCAGACATGCAGCAGCACTAGAATTTATCTGAAGACTTGTTTATGTCACCCTAATAGTTGTATGTATAATATTCCCTCTGCTTTAAGCTCTGCTGAATCATCTGCTACATTAACCAGCTAAAAGCAAACTTTGTCCATCTGTTGTTTGGTGCTGGGTTATCGAAAGCCTATGGTATAGTAACAAAAGTCAGCCCCTTGAAAACAGTATAACTCAAACACAGTTGTAAATTACAGTAAACTTCAGAATTTCAATATTTAAAGTGACGTTATCATCAGTGGTTAGTGTTGGCTTGTCATTGTTAATAGTTAAATTATTGTTGTTGTCCAAAAAAGGAACACAGCAATGCTGATATACGTCCTACAAAACAAAAGATGGGAAAATACAAGCCTGCTTATTCTGCAGTTATCAAACTTATTTCAGTCAACCAGCAGCTGTTTCAAGCAAAAGAGTTTGAAGTTAGCAACTAGCTGTTGTA